AGCTATCAGAACGAGCCACCAAATTAACTTAAGATTTCCTGTTGTTTTTAATGTAAATCTCTCAAGAAAATCTGACAGGAATGAAAATAATACAGGTTGAACATCAGTCTTAGTCAGTAGATATCATGACTGTTCTTACTATTACTTCATGTGCTTGTTTGTGATTTCTTTTGAGTTTCAAACTCAAGATGCTTCTTAATAGTATTACATCTTACTGCTTTCTGTGTGCTAATTGACAAATTGATCCTGCCATCTATCATCATTTTATCCTAAATTCTCCTGCTAATATCACATAGCAATAATGAATGAGGACTCACTTGTTGTGCTGATACTCTGAGTTTCCTTGATTCTCTTTAATGACTACCCAACAAATCACTGTACAGTTCTGATCCCAGTTCTTGTGCACTCTGCACCTAACGAGGAGTGAAAAAAAAACTTAATCAGAAAACACTGTTTTAAGAGCACAATTTCACAAATTGGCCAGAGAGTATAATTATCCTGAAATAGCATTATATTACAGTCCTCTCCATTTAATGGATTTTCCCTTCTCCTAAGATCTGTGAAATAGATTTTGCCAATTCCATTCCGCATTTCAGTGTTGAATGATAACAAAAATATAATTTTCTGTCACATAGAGATGTTTTTGCTGCACAAGGGTGGATACAGCCAGAAAAATGTTATCTCTTCCAGGACCAAAGTTTATTATCAAAGAAGCAGTTTCCTTCTTTCATTAAGTACATAATTCAAGAAAACTGATTTTAACCATACTTGGTAAGCTTATGATGTAGAGCACCAATTCAGAGGTTCAGGGTTCAAGTTCCAGACCAGACCAACACTCAAGGTCTTAAAATAACAGAGGAGGCATCTGCAAATGGTTAGACATTCTAGTTTTCTTGGATAAGGATAATAACTGGTAGACCCTGTCTCTCTGATCTTCTCTGTACTTGTTAGTTTAGGATGCTAAAGGACCCTGGCACTTCTCATGAATAGTGGGAAAATTAGCTTCTGGTGTTGTGGTCTGGCCTTATTATTGTTGATCAACAGGCTCCCATTTAACCTTGCTTTAAAGCTGAACTAGGCCAGCCTACAATATCTAAATATCACTAATACATACATAATGATAATTTCCCCTGCTTATACCTCCTCTCATGTTTTTCAACAAGCAATGCTGGTACTCATAATTCCTCTCAGCTGTTTTCCTTTTGCATAAGTCTTTAAAAGCACCTTCCCTGAGACAGACAATTATATCAAGTTAATGATAGTCTTCCTGGAAAAGTCTTGAAAACAGCAAGTTACTACAAGCTTCATTGGACTAATTTTATGCCTAACCCACAGCTCATTACAAAAAGTGATAAAACTACATATAGAGTACTGGCTTCCTGAAATAAACATAGAGGCTTAAGTGTAGAAAGGTCATCACTTAAACTAAATACTTTTACGAACACTCCAAATTGGAAGTGTCTCACTAGAAGAAAATTGTTGGAAAACCAAGGTTGAAGACTTGTTGGGTTCTATTGTTAAACCCTAATATACCCTAGCATCAGTATGCATATTTACCATACTGTTCTCCATATATTTTCTAAGGTGCTGCTAAGCAGAATTTGTCTAACAATCAAGACCTTCTTTAGTTGATGATAATTTCCTTTATTCTTGTGACCTTATTGTGTGATTCAGGGTGAAATTATAAGGAGAAATTACATGCTAGACACTATTAGGAGTCAAAGGGTTAAGAAATAATCCTTTCCATTAAAAAATAGTTTACATTTACAGTGCAACTCAAAGACAAGGGGACCAATATGTGCATGTTAAACAGTCTTACAGAATAAGTCAAAGACCAAATGCAGACCAGTCTTGACAGAAGAGCATACGAGTCTTACAGTGGATGTGTCTGCCTACTATTTTAAGTATGAACGACCTAGCTGATTGTTTTCTCTATTATAGAATGTAGTGCTTTCAAAGATATAATCTACAATTTACACAAGACAGTATTCATTGACATTTTCATAAAAGTTTTACGAATTTACATCACCATTTCTTTTCTTATGGAACAGGATAGCACACAAAGCAATAATATGCTAAATAATAAAAGTGGCACATACACTTTGTCTAAATGCATTTTCAGACTAGTCTGTTAACAGACGCATACATGTTAGACAATTGTATAGTAAATATAGTCTGCAATGTCCCCTTATCTTTGAACTGCACTGTAGACAACTCAGTGTAAGAGCGAGTGAGAAGACAGATGAGAGGAAGCTGTAGAATTACACTTGGGTTCTTTTAATAAGCTGCATAAACTCCCAATCTACTTATATAAAATCTTAATCTGACCAAGCAATGCATTGTACTCTTCAAGTCTATTTCACAAATAGATTCCATGTTGCCATGTTTCTGTTCAGCTATAGGTCACAGATAATGTCAAAATGTGGTAAGGACAAAATAGTTGTGCACAAGGGGCAGTGGAGTGTGTCACTGATGTTTTTTATCGCATCTTGCTGTCTCCTCAGTGACCCACAGCAGCATGGAAACTGTTTATTTCATATACTTTTTTAGCAGAGAGGTAAACTATTGTTGGTAAATGGAAATGTCAACTGTGCTTCTGCCCTCCAATAGATCATTTGTAAGAACTAATCACAATGTGAATAAATGTTTCAGTGTATTACATAAATAGTCATCCACATGTAATGATGATTTTTGCTGTGAAGTTAACCCTTTAACTCCCATTAGTGACCAAGACAGGAAATTTCCTTACAATATCAATACAATTTCAAGCAGATTAGTAATGAGATAAAATAAAATCAATTTGGGAATTATTAATCGATTAAATCCCAAATTCACTGAACTAACACCATAAGAATTGTATGACAGACAGTAAGGAGAATTACTAACAAGATCTGGGGAGTGAAAGCATCAAGCTTGCTGTTCAGTTTTATCTCCAGGTTCAATCCAGGACAAGAGGTTTTTAACGCCTAAAAACCCACAAACCCTTCAGCCTCTCAACAAATTTCACAACTCCTTAACTGTAATACTAAATTTCACCGGCTATTTTGCAGCGTATATTTCTCCTGCACACCGGAGCCATTACATCCTCGGTTCAAATATTACAATTCTTACCTTGTTCTCCTCGTTGTTACTCGTCAGATCCAAAATGTACGCTGTCCGCGCACGTTCGCCGCACTGTTCCTAACAATCTCTCAGTTTTCGTTGTCCGCCTCTGTTTCTCAAGTTGTTTTCTACGTTGCAAATTTAAATTCTGCGCCATTTTCAACCACGAGGAGCGAAGGATATGTAAATTACTTTAGCGATTTGGTAGCGCATGTGCAAATTTGGGTCTGTGTTGCTATGGCGATCCGCTATTTCCACAGTCATGGAATTTTTCATTTTGCAGATGATTTATCAAGAAGACACAGCTAACATTTAGCTTTCGCAGAAAAATTTCCTCTTTAAGTTATTTTCTTTCGTCATTTCTTTGATGGATGTTTCATGTTTTTCTACATTGCTGGTATTGACAGATGAAGTAAAGAAATCTTTTTCTTTCCTTGACTAAACTGAAAGTCGAGTGCTTAATGCTGGTCGGCTCTTACTTTCCAGTTGTGTTTAGATGTTAGCTTCTTTGCTAATCGATTTGCGCAAAATCTAGATTTTTTATGAAAAACTGCTAAATCTGGTTGAAAGTTTTACTTAGTGAAACACATCATTTCCATGTAAACTGAATAAAAGCGTTTACTTTGTGGCTAGTTAAGGTAACATTTCCATTCAAAGCCTACTAATTTTGTGAGGGTATTCAGCTCGAACTGCGTGTAACAGTTCCATGCAAAGTTAAAAGTAAAAGGCGAAATCCTAAATTTTAGACATTGGATAACTGAAATGAGCACAGATCTTCATGATTTGAGCAATTTTTAAGCAAGTGTCCAAACTAATCCAGAATTACATTAAGAAACCTGGAAAAAACACACCGTCGAATCGTGAAGATTGTTTTCGTGTTTCGTTCAAAACCCATGTATCGTGAAACTACTGCTCCATAGTCGTTCTTGAGAATGCCACGGCAAACCAAAAAGACGCATTTGACTCTAGCCGCATGATTGGTCCAGCTTTCACAAACCACTGTTGATTGCTTAGAAGCACTCAATCCTTGTAGCTGCTCGTCGTTGTTGCTTCTTTGTTATTCGGCGTAAGTTCCCTTGATTGTGACGCAAACAAACGGAGCGAGCACGTGCGTTAATTACTTACGCGCTTCAGCGCGTACGATAAACCTTACTCAATTTTGTAAGCTTACGAAAGAATCCCGCATTCTCCAAATTTAACTGTGGGGTTCTTTGGAACAGGATTTGTTTCTCCTTTACATATTTGATTGTTGTTGTGTGGTTTATTCATTAATTCTGCGGCCCAGTCCGTGCTAAGCATATCAATAAAGATTACAACAGATCCATGCGGAAGGCAAACCGAGCTGACTGAAAGCTGTTGATCGATTTTATAACTGTTTTCGTTTAAGTCACATGGGCATCCGTGTTCTCTTCCCCGTGAAAACTTAGAGATAAGAAGGCTGTTATCATTTAGCAAGGAGCAAAATCAATTGATTCTAATTACTACTTATTTTGCTCTTTTGTCGCAGTCTTCATACTTATTCTAGGGCTCTGTTCCTGGAAACCAGGCTGGAAACCCCTGGGCATGCTTGCTTTACCTCGGCTAAGGCCAAGTCATTCAATCTTTGGTCACAGTCAAGCCTTCGTTAACGGGCACCTTAAGTAAGGACTCTATCAAGAGACAGCGGCGACACAGCAATGTATATGCGCGGCTTTCCGAAACGGTGTGCTCAAGTTTCGGAAACCTTCGTTGTGAAATTGTCACGGAGAGTTAACATCCAGTTCTATTTTCTCAAATATGTGTTCTAAATTCACGCCACGCTCTCAAACATCGAATATTTTCACAGTCAAATAGCGCGCGTCGTAACACCAGATCCAAAATAATCACCACGTGATGCAGCATAAATCAAACTCAGTAATGGTGATCTTTATCTCTTTATTCTTTGTACAGTGAATAACAGCACTGGTGAGGAAACTAAAAGTATTGTGATTTTCAAAAGTATAAATATGACACATTCTGAAAAAATTCCTTTCGTAACCAACGGCTATAAATCATAGAAAACGTTCATCATATATTAATCTTAAAACATAACTCAGACACCACTCTGTGTAAAATTCTCCACAATCTTATGTACATAACATTATCCGAGCAGTTCATCTTTATTTCGGAGCATTTTTTGTCTTTTCTTTTGTGTTGCGGGTCATAGACGACACATCGTCTCCAGTAAAGGCCCTCAAACGATATTCCAACTGTTTTCTGTCTTTGACTTCACGCTGAAACTCACGAGCCTGTCATCAAACAAATAATGATAAAAATCTGACTTTTTTGTCTAAAAACATTAATGTAAATTCCTGTAGTAAGGGAGAATTGATTAACGCTTTAACCACTTAAAGTGATAAGCATCTAATTTCTCCAAACAGTATCACCCATGGATCAAACATTAAGGTCATGAGAATAAAGGAGATGATCGCAAACGCAAAAAGTTCTTGATTGTTAGACAAATTCTCCTTGTAAGTACCACAGGAAATATAAAGATAACAGCATGGAGAATTTGCATACTGATGTTAGGGTGTAAATGGTTAAGAGGTTATAAGGTTGGTAGAGTAAGCACCCTGATCACCAAACGGAGAGGGGCGCATCCAGTGAATTAGAGCAAGATATTTACATTAACTTCAATACAGGGTCTTGATATTAGCAGGCAAGTCAAGAATTTAAAGAAAGCGACAAAACTTTTGAGTCTGTAAAACATGTTTCGACAGAAACTTCTGTCGTCTTCAGTTAATTACTGTACAAAGCGTTGGAAGTTGAATTATATTGTAAGTAGAACAATGCTAATTATGATGAATGGTGACAACAAGAAAAGAGGTAAAGCATGAAAGTGTGAGAATTAAAAGGATAGTTTTAGATTTACATGGTGTAATTGTTGATTCAAGGATGGTTGTTCTCTTTGAATATGAACTTCAATACAGTTCTAATTCTTACACTTTATTATTGCATTAAGCCCGGTGCAAAGATGAATTTCTCATTTGTGACAACTTCTATGTTCCTTGCATTTCGTTTGCTAACAACTATGTACTTAGCTCAGTTCCGAGAAATACCTTGATTAATGTAATTTTCAATTGAGTGTCGAAAGTGATCCGAAATTGCTTTCTTTTTGCTTTATTTCGTTATGTGATTGGTCCAGAAAACTCGCGCCACTTTCTCAACCAATCAGAAGCAAAACTAAAACCAATCTTGGCCACCCGCGTTTTCCCGCGGTTCAGGTAGTTAGTTTCAAGTTTTTATTGGCTCTGTAGAGTATCTACCTTTCATCTGATTGGTAGATGTGATAATTTTGGTTTTACGACACTCAATCGAAAATTGTTCTAAAACAGAAACTTAATAATTCATTTGTCTTGTGCCTGTTTCGTTTCTTTTTTGATCGAAACTTCACTGGTCCTAAAAAATAAAGCTTCACTTACCATTTCTAGGTTCTTTCTTGCAGATTCAAGCTCTTCCTCTATCGATCCGTACGTTTTGCCTCGGTGCACTTTTAACTTTTCCATGTGCACCTTAATTCTTTTCTCCAAATCACGGTCTTCAAGCGCCCTGTGTCATAAAAAGAAAACAAAAGTCACTAACAGCGAGTAAATTATATAGTTACAAGACGCATGGTGTAAGCCAAAGAAAAAGCTCTTTAGTTCTCAAAGTAAACGAAAAGGATCTCACGGCAACATATTTACTTAAAATACGAGAACATTTCATACTAGTCTTCAAATCAGAGCACAAATTTCAACTTAGCTCCAAGTATTTAAGTTACGTCTCGTCCACAATTTCAGCTGTTGAAACTTCATAGAAGACAGGTTTAGGATCAAAGATTTTATTGCTTGTTCTAGTTTTCAAGTTCAACCCCAGATTTTAAGCTCCTATGTACAATTTTAAGTACACCACCTTCTGGCCGCTCCTTTGCCATCCTTTTCCTCCAATAGTTCCTTTAGTTTCTTCGCGTAGCCGTGAGGAGACTAGAAACAAAATTTAATGTTATCTATTAATCTCATGCCCTTAAATCTTTTATTAAGAAGGGCGCTTAACATTTCCCTGCTTTTACAATTGTTTGCCTTTCATAAACTGTGTGGACACAAGTTATGAAGAGATCGAAGCTGTCCTTCAAGAGGTACGAACCTAGTTTCCATTGCTGCTGAATTTCGTAGCATGAGTCGACAGGGAGTATTGCTAATCCAATTCAAGGTCATCACAGGATTCCCCTTCTCACTCCTCCCCTTCCTAGAATTTCATCATATTTCCCTGGGTATTCAACAAGACTATATATACCCCAGAGGGAAGAAATACACCGTAAGAATGAACTACTTTGCCTACAAACACGGCGCAATGACTGGGTCAGGACCCGATGCCAAACCTTTCAATCACGAGTCTATCACACTAACCACCAGGAACCTGAATCTCTCTTGAGAATATGAGCACATATACCGTCGAATCTACGTGACAGAACATCGCTCGCCTACCACAAGATCACAACCTCTCACAAGTCACGAAAGAAGCATAGCATTATACTTTGCATCTCTCAGCACGCCCCTGAATATCTGTCGTTTTAAAGACCAAGACATGGTTACGAAATCTCCTGACTATAGTTTAGTCCACAGCTCAGTTTAATGTCTACTGAATTCATGTTAACTTCCAACTTCTACTGATGGAAAACACCATTACAGGAGCGAAACGCTTCATAATACCACCCTACCTTTTCATCTTCCTTGGCAGATTTTTCGGTTCCATACGGTGCTTTTACTTCAACTATAATGAAACAAAACACAACCAGCGATAAAGAAGTTTTTGATTGAGTGCCGAAACAAGTCTAGATTTACATTACGCTAAGTGATTGTTCCTAACAGAAGTATTCTGCACCATACGATTTCGCAGTTTGATGTTCTAACAACTAAGCTTCAATGAACTCGTACCTGAGTAACAACATCTCACGTAAAGTTTATATCATGGTTGAGAGCCTTCAGCATACTGCAAGCACTAGGTACATTTTTTTTTTTTGTTGCGTCTAAGTAATTCAGAGACAAACGAATTGGTGGAAATTGTTAGGAACCTTACCCGTTGAAGAGCCCTTTACGGCGGAAAGCCTCTGCTTTTGTTGACGAAGGAGTTTAGTCTTTTCCCGCCAGTCATCTAGGGCCTTTTTATCCCTACAGCAAAAAGGGAGAGAATTTTCAAACAAATTTAAGTTCAAAGAGATTTTTTCTATCATGATGCCTTTGCGTTCTGAAATCATTCAGAAAACAATTTAAAAAACTAACAAGAGTGACTTGAATTGTCAGACATGGTAACTGATACCAGGTTGGTATACTTTTTAAAACATAACTACAGCCGATCAGTGACCGAGGGGATCTCTGTAGGAACAACACCGACGCCACCGATTAAAAACAAGGTTCGAAATGAACCAATGAGAACCCCCAAAAACACACCAATAGCATTTAACCATCATACCACATAACAATAAAACAACCTGAAAAGCCAGCTGATGCCAGTTACATGCTATTGCACGACACCTATTGAAAAATGCTCTAACCACATCCTTTGAACATATTTTTCAACATGTTAATCATCCGGGCTGGGCAAGGGCCATAGTCGCAAACTGTTACTAAACTACAATGATGTTGTATCGATCAAACTATTAATAAGAAACATCTAATTCTGCTAATTATTTTCAATAGCACGAACTTACTTCCTTTTCTGCAAAATCAAGGCTTCTTTTTCATTCATCACAGCTAAAATCGCCATTTCTTGCTGCTCAGCCAACCGAGCTTCGTAATCTGGGAATGTTGGAGTCGCGTTGGCGTCGTACTGGAACCGAGCTGTTCTGGAACTTAAATTTAGTAAAGCTAAGTTAGCACCTCAATGACTTTGACAACTGAGACATTCTGGTTGAAGAAAACATGTTGCGGGCCATATTAAATCTTTCTGTAGTAACACCCTTACGACAAGCAAGGCTAATTTATCGATAAAAACATATCGTTTTCCAAAATCTTTGTCAATAAAGGTGTAATTAAATTTAACAACCAATATACAAAATTTTGTCGTAAATCAAACCTTTAAGAAGTCTTAACTCTAAACAAAAAAAAAAACGCAACAAACCGAAAACAACATAGAGCTCAAAACTAACGCTTAACTCCACCGTCGTTGTCAAGTACTAGGCTCTGAACATGATTGGCTGATTATAGAGATTAGAGATCACATGCGTCGCGTGTAAACACAGAGAAGAGGGAGAAAGGGGAAAGGAGAGAGTAATTGAAGCTCGACTGGAAAAACGTACATTCACGAAACTCAAGGAAATTTCCACAGATATGGAATGAATCCACTGTTATTCCTGTTACAAGACAGAGTCAAGCTTGACTCCGTCATATAATAGGAATAACAGTGATGGCAAAGCAAGCCCAAAACGGCAAAACACAAAACACCAAAACGCCTAAACACCAGAAACCACAACGGACACACAAGGATTGATTACGTTCTATTAATCTTGCGTGTAAAATGTTCATATTTCGGAATATTTAGCGTTGTCAGTCGACCATATTTCATTCCCCGTACTATTTCTTGGAGCGCGTTCAAATTCTCAACGGTTCCTTCACAAGCGACCTAAGCTCCAGCTGTGAGATGAGTGGTCGTAAATATTCTCATATAAACTCTTATATTTCTGTCATGACTGTTATTGTGCAAGATGATCTTCTCACAGCTGGAGCTTGGGCTGCCTGTGGTTCCTTGCGTAACTTAACACCGCGTCACACACCGCGAGACGCTTTCATGAATTAATCGTTTGCTTTTTCTCGAGACGTGAGCTTGGGACGCCTCTGGTGGTATGTGCGCAGTTGCTTACTGACGTTGATCAGTTTTCATTTACAGGTCAGGCCATACCTCTCCGATTTAGGACTGCTTTTCTTTAGCCTAGATGCATTTTTACCGGACCCTGTCAGTTCCCTGCTTCGGATATCCACCGTTTGTCCGCTGCTTGATTGCAGTTCCATCCTTTGCCTGTCATATTCTCGCCGTAAAACGTCTGACCGCGACGGAGGGGGGTGGAATGTTACCGGCGTGTTTATGAGTCCTGGAAGCTGCTTCGAATCTGTTTTACTTCTTCTCCGGCGGCTTGATGAGGCATTCTTCTTACCTAGATTAAAATTGACCGGAAAGAATCACCATCAAAACTCACTGTAGGGTCCAGGTTTGGCCGAGACGGAAATGCTAGGATGAGGTTTGTCCAACACGACTCGACCTCGCGCGAATGTTTACACCGGAAAGTGCGAGTAATTAGGGAACAGTCAATATTTATCGACTGAGAGCGGGTGGTGGAGGACATTTGAGGAAATTACAGGGGATTACATAAATCGTCGTCAACTGAGTATCCAGTGAGGACCATAGAAAATCGATTGCCATTTAACTGCCAATGACGGGGGAGGGGAGGGGGACAACCAAAATCTTCCAGTCCCCGGGCGATAAATAATGGTCCCTTGTTTAGACAGGCACGCTAAAGACAGAGAGAGCTTACTGGCGCGTGTCTGCTCTCCCTGTCTGCGTGTTATTCGCGATCTCGCCCAACCTCCCCAAAAACAAAGTGCGCATGGTCTAAACAAAGAGAGTTTGTAGAAAGATCGTGTTCTGGACACTAAACAGAAGGCGTATAAACTTGTCAAGTAACAACCAAATACATTCCCTAAGAGAGGTGTGCTGTGTCTTTCGGAGTATAACAAGATCGTTAGCACTTTTCTCTCGAAACGTCGGTTTTAGAAACTCTTTACGGTGGCCAATATACATTATCAACTCAGCCGATAAAATCAAATCATCATTTAAATTCCCTGTCGTGTACTGTGACTTCACATTCAGAAATGCACGTTTAGCTGAACAAAAACAGACACTGTGCCAATCAAGCACACCGTGATATAATTATGAAGTTCACTAAGGTTAGCATTATTCTCTATCAAAATACTACTACATATACATCTAGCGATAACAGCTTTAATTACACGCTTTTTTCAAAGACTAATGACTATACATTTTGATATAAAGGTATACTTTGAGTTTATCATTATAAAAATATGTATGTATTACTGATTTAAGGTATGTAGAGCTGTGGGCACTATGCATGATAACTGAAACTAATTATTAGAAAAATGTAGCTCTTTCTTAATTTTCAATTTTTGTTATGTTTAGTATTAATTGTTAGGCATCATTTTAATATGCTCCAGAGATACTATTACTCTATCACTGGAAACAAAACTAAGGGTTATCATTTGAGACATTCATGGTTAAAATAAAAGTCCCTTAGTAGCTAGAGGACTTGAAAATACCTTTTTTTATTCATTTCGTTACCTTATTTTCCTCTGGTCGCTATTGAATTTAACGACTTGTAGTCGAGAAAATAAAACAACAAAAAAAATCCCTTTTCTTGGGGCAAAAATCTTACCCAGAGGAGTTGTTAAGTACCCTAAAAGCATTGTAGATATTCTAAATGATTACTAATCTCAATTCATATCTATTTACTGTTTCACATAATTTTCATCTTCTCAAAGGATGCTGTTCATCGATTATGGGAAACAAAGCTCTAAAAAAGTTAACATCTGAGAGACATTCATGATCAAGACAAAAAAATCCTAAATGACTAGAGAACGTGAAAATACCTTTCTTGTTAATGTTAATACCTTGTTTTACTTAACTCGCTCTCGAATTTTCCGACTTGTTGTTGAGGAAAAAAATCCCTTTTTGGGGGCCCAAATAAAAGTTAGAGAGTAATTTTAGTATCCAAAAGCATAGTAGATGTTTTAAATAATTGCTAGTCTCAAGATACATGCAAAATAAAATTAAAAAGGGCTAGGAACGTTGATTTTCTCCTCCTACGAGCTGAAGTTGTTCTGAGTCTAGTTGCACTGTTTCCTTTCCGATAAACTTTTCGGTTCCTAGGTAGATCATTTCCAGAGCTCTGCCTCAGTTGGGGTCACTGTTTTCATTTCTTTGATCATCAACAATAGTTTTCAATTTCTTCTGCGTGATAGGCGACATACGGCCATCAGTAGTCAACTTAAACTTGCATAAAATATTATCGGCAGCCACCTTCCTCAGATACGGGCTTGTTCTGCTCATCATCGGTCTCCATCGGCCTCCATAATTACCCGTGAAATAGTGTACCGTGAGCAATCCCTGGTGGTCTGCTAATGATGTTACTTTGCCCAGACAAGGCTGTCCCTTAATGTAAAGCTTTTCTGGCACTCTGACAGCAACCATGTCCCCTTCGAATACAGACAATGGCTTTGACCCTTTGCTATATAACCCATGAGCACCTGAATATTCGGGATGTTTAGGTTTTTTAGTTTCTTTAGAAGCTTTTTCATCTACAGTTAGTTGGTTTTTCTGGAGCTCCAGAGAAGCAGTTTCTTTCACATTGCTTGCGTCTTGATGCGAAGTCGACACATCTGCATCGCTGTGACTAACAGAGCTCCCCACTACAGGCAAACTTTTCTGAGGGATTTCAGGCTTCGGCAATCTTTTCGTTTTAACTTTCTCGCGTTTTTCTCTTCTTCCATCGCCATGGCTATCCACAATGTATAAATTTTTGTCCAATTCTAAACTACTGTTCGAATTTTCCACGTAGTTATCTGATTTTTCACCCGTTCGCCGTTTTCCCTCCAATGGTTTCAACTGAACTTTCCCGTCCTTCCTCTCTGGACCATAAGAAGAAACATCTTTCCTCGGTGATCTTGCTTCGGGCTTCACCGTCCTCACTGGGGACTTTTGCTCGAAAATTCGCGTTGGTTTTTCCTGTTCAAATTTCCGAGCTTTTTGTCCTCTAAGCAAGTTTTCTTCCGACTCGTCAACCGAGCGATTTTTCGGTCTCGCTGCTGCCGCTTGGATTATCGGAGGAAGCTTGAAAGTTCTATCCGCTTTTATGTTTCTCTCGTTTTCAACTTGATCCACGTGCTCTCTTTCCCCTGAAACGCAGATTTAAAAGTGGATATCAGTAACTTTTCAGACATTCTGCTCAAAATCTAGCACGATATTTTGGAAAAAAGGTTAACATTCCAATTTCGCTTCTTTTTGGATCCATCGCACGACATTTTGCCCAAGCCAAACGCATTAAAACAGAAGTTATTTTGATCGAGGAACACTGTAAATCTATCCATAAATGGAGTGATATCCACTTTTAAATTTGCATGTCTCACCTCTCAACTGAGACAACTTACATGGAAGACAGCATGTAACTACATTGAAAGTAATCTGGGATTACAATTATTGTCCTTTGTCGTTGATTGGTCCAGAAAACTCGCACCACTCTCTCAACCAATCAGATGCAAAACTAAAACCAATCGCATCTTGGTCACTAGCGTCTTCCCGCGCTTTTTTACGCAGTTTACTCGATTTTACTCTGCCCTCTCATTGGCTACTTGTGATAATTTTCCCCTTGATCTGACTGTCTGTTCCAATAACTTTGGATTCGGTTTTACGACACTCAAATTAAAAGCGCTTTATTTCCCTTACCTCTGATTAGGGGATTGGATTATTTTGGCTTTGGTTTTAAGACAATTAATTGAAATGCACTCTAAATGGCGATGTTTACTTAGTCTACTTGTTCTCAGTGTCTGGAGGAATGTTACAAACACGACAAATTAAGGTTTATTTTAATCTTTTATGAGTGACAAATATCTTTACCTATGTTTTCTTTAAGATATTTTTATTATTCTCATCATTAACAATACTTCTGGCTTCAGATTACAGTCATTATATTTCAATACATTTCCATTAATCATTGTAATCACATGTACATGTATATCATTATCAGAATTGTACTGTAATTAAATCATCCCTTTTCTCAATGTCGTAAAAGAAAACCACATCTTAAAGGAACCACTATCATTTTGAAACTTTTTCACCAAAATAACATGCAGATTATCATTTGACTAGTGTAGCCTCACTGCCTAATCCTAAAGAAAGCCAAAGTGAAAGCTGACTTGAGCCAGTCCTAAAAAAGGCATGCGGCCCCGCACTTGTACGGCTCTGTTGCATTTCTAGAGAACAATGAATTCTAATGGGGCACTTAAACTTAAAATAAAACTAGGTGAACTTTTCGATGAATTGTGAGTTTCTTACTTTGACTTGCAGAAATAAAGCAGTTGTCAAAACACGCCTTTACAATGTATTATAATTGTGCCTTATTTAGGCACAAATGTTATTTCCAAATTTAAAGACTTAGTTGTAATTTGATAAATACTTAATGACTGAGTTTGGTCAGGCAACATGGGAAAATATTTGGCTGAATGTTTAGAGCATGGTCTTAATTCTTACATCTATTCAGGCTCTATGGTTAAGGAGTTTGTAATATTTAAATTTTCTTGTAGTTTTTTCAAGAAAAATCTGTCCTTATCCCAAAGTTCAAGATGTTTCAGAACTGTAATTCATAAAACAGTATCAGAATGTAAACAAGGTATCCAAACTTACTTGTGATTTCACCATCTCGTGTTGTAGCAAATAGCAACTCCTCACTTGAAGAGGATTCTGGGTGCTCTGACAGACAAATGCAAAACTTTATAATATAAAAATTATAATAAATAAATGTAACAATATTTGGTACATGACTTAAGAAATAATAATCTGTGCCTTAGAAGTCGTCACTCACTCAGTCCCTCATAAAACACAATTATTCCTGCATGTAATATTCATGGCAACTTCCAGATAGTTCACAACACAATCACCCATTTCCAAAGTTTTTGAAGATAATTTAAACCATAAGTACACAGTAGAGAAAATAACCTGTGAATTCTTGGAATTTCCACCAAAATTAGAGATATCTCTTTAACATAAACAATTCCCAACCCACTAAGAATCATGCTGATCTAGGTAAAAACTGCTCAAAATGCAGAGTAAAAAGAAGGAAGTTAGTTCAACTTCTTGGTTACTCCTTGAAATGGGAAAGCATTAAAATTGATTTAAAAATATATGTACTTGTGTACAGGATTTTTACAATTTCAGCCATTTTTCACTGAGAGCTTGTAGTTACCTTCTACAAGGACTGCACCTCTTTCTTGCAGTTGTAACATGTACTGTTCTCTGAGAAACTTGAGTACTTCCTACAGGAAAATATAATTTATTTATTAAACAATTACATTGACAACATACTATTTTAAGTGTGACATAAGCTGTTTTAAACACTAAGAAATATAAGTCAGTGAGAACAATTTTTATACATCAACTTTTATCATGATTCTGCAGTGTTCACCTTTTCAGGTGGCAACCTGTAAAATTTAACACCTGTAGCACCTCTCATTATGGCTTGAAATCCCTTAGAATTCTTGAAAAATTCATCTGGTAAAAGAATTGCTCCTCTGGTTTGAAAATTTGGTTTTTATGCTATGCTTAAAGAACACTCCTACAATGTTTTGCCTAACAGTACTAGGACGTGAAAAAAAAAAGATTATGTGTATGTCATTATAGCTATGGTGATAATTTCTGTAAATTTAAAGGGTAACAAATAGTATTTTTTGTATTCTTTTTCACTTGCCTTTGTGATAACTCAGGATACAAATCTCTAAATTATTTTGATTTCTTTTTTAATTATTTTATTTCTCTCCAGCCAGATTATACATCTACATTGTACCTCTCACTGCTCTTTCTCTAATCCAACAAAGTAAGTGCTAACTACTGTAGTACCAAGTGTACTTATTTAGAGTTGCCTTCCTGTAACTTTAATCTGAAAATTTAATTTAACACTATCTTCCAGGCTTGGGTTGTTCAAAGGGCAAACAACAACATCCACTGGATAAATCTCCACCCAGTAGATACCACAGTATGTTTTGTACATACTTATCCACAGGAAAGCAACTAACCCATTGCACTGAAACAAATTACCTGAGTTCCTTTTTCCACAATAAATGCTGGAGGAAATTCAAGTGGATTGCTAGAAATGTTGAGTCCTGATAAACTCTTTACTAAGCCTAAAAACAGCAAAAATTAAGAAGGTTCTTAATTTTGTTGAAAAGAAGGTATAAATAACAGGCGCTAACCATCATTATGCACATTCTCTCAACTGTTCTCTTTCTTCAGAAACTTTTGCCATTCTCTCAACCAATCAGATGCAAAACTGAAACCAATCCCGCACTTGAGGCAGTTTGGTCAGGTGTACTCTGAGCTCTCATTGGCCCTTTAACCCTTTAACTCCCATGAGTGATCAAGACAGAATTTCTCCTTACAATATCAATACAATATCAACCAGATAAGTCATGAGAATAAAAGAAACTATCAATTTGGGGATGATTAGTTGATCCAATACTAAATTCTCTGAACTAACATTATAATAATTGTATGGTTGACAGTAAGGGGAATTACAAATTTGATCTGGGAGTTAAAGGGTTAAGGTATTGTCATTTCTTCTAATTGGCCATTGTGTTTACACTGGTTTTGGTTTTATGACACTCCATCAAAAACCTCTCTATCACGGTTGTACCTTTATCTTACACATCCGAGAAAGTATATTTAACCCTTTAACTCCCAGGAGTGACCAAGATATAATTTTTCCTTACAATATCGAAATACTATCAAGCAGACAAGTAATGAGAGTGAAGACAAATCTTAATTAGGGGATTATTAGTTGATCCAATACCAAATTCTCCAAACCAACATCACACAAACTATATGGCAGACTGTAAGGAGAATTACAAATGAGATCTTGGGAGGTAAAGGGTTAAGGCACAGCAGATTGTATACATGTTTTGTTCTCACCTAGCTCTAGTGGTAGTGATTCTATAGTGTTTCCTTCCAATAGTAAATTTCTCAAATTTCTGTTGAGGAAAAATAACAAGACTGAACACAATTCAATTTATAAGTGAAATCAATAAGCTTGTGTAACATATCAGTTAGTTATAAATTGATGGTCCATCAGTTGGTAAAAACTTATGTCATTTTTGAAGACAGTTGTCTTGCTGTTATGCATGTAATAATAAAGAAACTCAAAGAATCACTTTTTCTATTACATTACAATCATCTCCACCACCAGACAGACTGTCACATCATTGCAAGCTCACCACCAAGGCAATCTCACCACCACCAAGTTGACAACAGTAAACCTGCCACCAAGGTCGCTCGCTAATTTTGGTATAAATTCAGAGTTTTAGGCAACTCTTAAAGTTTGATCTTGAGTTTTGCAAGCAGTGCCATAAGAATGTCATGGGCAATACTGCTAAGCTGTGCTGGATAGTTGTAATTTTCTCAAAGACTACAAAATTTTAAATAGTTGTAAATTTTTCAAAGACTACAAATTGCACTCACCCCACAAACTCGTGCAATTTTGATTTCTTTGAAAAATTTACTCGAATGTGCTTATTAACATCAAATTGCACTCGAAATTATGTTGTTACCTAGACTTATAGCCCAGACGAATATTTTGCGAGCTTGTGCATACCTTAAAATCGCTTTGTCAGAAATGTTGTTTAAGAGTAAAAAACCTAGCGATCCACAAGCTCGGAATAATCGTCTAAAACATGAAATTATAATAAAGATAAGTTTTGGAATTGCCTGACATTTCTAAACAAACATATGATAGGTTTGAAAGATCGTTTCCGGGGAAAATTCTATGAAAATTCAATTTCTTAATAATCTCTATTAAGATCTTGCCCGGCTGTTGGGCATTTAGGCATAAAAACAATGAGTAACTATAATCGAACTCTCTATCAAACCTGTGTTTTCCAATTATGGGAGGAATATCCGTTATCCGGTTGTTCCTCAAATCGAGCCATCTCAAGTATGGCAAGCAATCAAACAACTCTTCTGGCAAGGAGCTGATTGCGTTTCCCTCTAAATACAAGAACTGGAGAGAGTGGAGAAAAGAAATCTCCTATTAACAATTCATATCACCAACAGAAACAAACGCTATTATTTGATTCGATACCATTCAAAGGTGTTAGCGAATCAACTCGAAAAGGTCAATACAAACTGTTCAAGAAACTGTAAAAATCGATATCGAGACGCGCGAAAAAGTTAGTCTAAAACGATATCAAAAATACCTCTAATTGATGTAGATTAAGTACTTCTGCAGGAAAGTGTGTTAATCTTTTATTGCTGAGGTCAATAGTGGTACTCCCTAAGGCAGAAGCAGTATTAATCAGCTGTTCAACAGCTTCGTCAACTCCTCCATCCCCAACCGCCATCTTTTTCTGCTAATTTACTGTCCGTTTACGTTACCATAGTGACGTTTATTTGTCTAATCTTGCCTCGTTTTCGCGAATAGAACCCAGCCTCCACGCCTTACGCTTTAGTGTCCCAAGAAATGAGATCCACCGTTGAAAGCAATTGATTATGAATTCGATTATCTTTTATATAATAGGCTCAGTTATGCTCGCATTCTGATTGGTTTTCACTTGTAATCTATTGGAGGACAGACGTATAGATGACGTCATCATTAAAACTTTTTTAATTCTTTATTATATAAAACATTATTAGTTGCCGTGCGTCTGTTCAGTAATAGATCACAGAGGACGTCAAAATGTGGTAAGAACATCAGTGACACACTCGGCTGCGCCTCGTGTGCCACTTTTTTGTTCTTACCACATTTTGACGTCATCTGTGATCTATTACTGAACAGACGCACGGCAACTTGGAATCTGTTTGTTAAATTTATAACCTAATCGCTTGTTAATAGGTATTTTTTGAAAGAGTAATCGGAGGGAAAAGAATGTCGGAAAATCTGACAAATTATTAAATTAAAAAGACGCCATTAATGATTGCATAGTTTGACTATTCTTTATTCAACTCTTTTGATGAAAAGTTTTAATAAAGTGTCCACGATTTTCAGAAAATGCTATTTCTTCCCCTAATTTTTTGGGTTGCCGTGGATCGATTTGCTTTCGCGCGCGAAGAAAGGAGCAATACTTTCGGTAGAAAACGGAACCGGAAGTGACACTGGAATGGCTTCCATCCGGGGAAATCTGCTTGCTTTACCTCGGACCACAGTCGAACAATATCGGTCCCAGTCTACTGGGCCCCAGAGTTGTTCCTCCTTGCCCACAACACCGATGAGAGGCCACGCATCTGTGGCGGTGAAAGATAACGCAAAGTAACGCTTCGATCGATCTGATTGGTTGGCGGCAGCACCATGCACAGTGAATGGATGATGAAACGAAATTCCACCCGCGGGAACCTCCACATAAACAGCTTGACTGGGATCAAACGTCGGGTCGTTGATCTCAGAGGCAAACTTGTCTTCGATGAAGTGATTATAAAAAGGACCCTTATGACTTCCCGGTATGACTTGTAGACAACCTGAATAAATGAAGTGACTTGTTGATTTACATGTAATTAGTTTCTTCGATCTATTTTTAGTGAGAAGTGCTCCTGATATTTAGTACGAAAATAACCTTTCAAAGTCGTGCCTTCCCTCAACTCTAAATTCTGCACTCAATCCGTCGTCGTTGCGTCACCGTTGTTGTAAATGTTTCCTTTCAAGCTAGAGTTAGAAACTCGATTCCCGGGTTGATACACGCGCATGCGATAGACAAACCAATATAGGATCTTTTCTTTCTTTTTCTTTTTTTCTTTTCTTTCTATTACTTTTCCTATTCCTTAGGGCGTTATTATATCGAAGCGGTCAACTGAAATCATTACATGAAGAAATTACCTAAGTATTGAGATCATAGCTTAAGAATAATCTCGATTTTGGAAACGAGTACTTGGCAATTAAAAGAACCAAAAGAAAAGTAAAAAAGGAGCGATAGGTTTCGCTTGGAGTAAGAACTAAGCGAGGTAACATAATCACAAAACAAGTTATTGCTTACCAAGTGGGTCTTGATTACTTTATTGAGGATTACAGTCTAATTCGTCTTCTATTCAAAAACGATCTTGATCCCTCGGGGTCTTATCCTGAACTGAAACGCTAACTATAATCTTCTGTATAAACGAACTAATCACGGGGGCTTTAATCCAACCAAAAAATATTTCACAGCTTTTCTCGGAAGCGGCAACATTTAGTTTCAACGGAAGCAGTTACAGTCGTGGTTTGCTTAGTTCCCTGAAACATCTCATGCCCGTTTATTCGTAATGAGAAAAGTTTGAATCGGGTCCTAATTTGAAAATTTTTTGTCTTAAAAGAAAGGGCACTCAATTACACGCTTGATTATTAAGAGCAAAAGATCTTTGAAATAAAAATAAGAACTATTGATTCAATCAGCTGCGTTTGGAAAATATAGTAAATTGATAAAAAAAAAAAGACACGATACCCTCTCCGATTAAAAAAGTTCAACGCGCAGGAAAGAAAAAATTTACTCAACGCGTTAATTCACTGTTGTAGCAATCATCCATACTAAAACCTCAAAAATCAATTCATCCCTTCTTATATTTTTGGCGAAGTTCAGGGTGGTATTAATATGAGAACATAAATTTCTCACGGGAATAATATAATAAATATTGGGATTTCTACGCGCAAATTTCTGCCATTGGAAAAATTTGAATGTGGCGCTCAGACTAATAAGAAGATGAGTGGAGGGAAGCCACGACCAAAGTTCGCCTGGAGACTTAAAAAATTGTATATGCACTTACCCTCCCTCCCCCAGTACTTGTTATAGAGGCCGTATTTATTTTCTTACCATTTTCTCTGCTAGAGTCATCAATTGAAAGGAAGCCCGTCACAAGGTCTTTATTTGTGTGAGGCCAAAAAGTCCAGTCCTGGTGCCACTTGATCGGAAAACTGCCACCTTGTGGAAAGTTGAAGAATAGGGCGTTGTGCTGGATGTAACGGACGGAAGGACCAATCTGAAAATCAAATAACTTACAGATCTTTCAAGTCTCTTTCAAAACTAGAGAACTGAAATGTGGGAAGAGAGACGGAGCCGCGGGGCATTTTCTCAGGAATATTATCTCGAGTGTTCACAAATTTTGACGGTGAAATACATATATGGTATTTCCTCGAATAAGGGCACGTCTTCTCGACTAAAAGGACGTGCACTTATTTGAAGGAGGGTGCTTGATCGAGAGAGGCGCTTGTCAAATTTTTTTTCAACGAACTGTCACCTTTTTTTGGGGGGGAAATCTTCAATAGAAAGACAAAAACTTCAACATTATCCACATATACGTAATTATAAAGGCAATATAGAGATAGAAAAATTACTGGAAGTAACTTAGCGGAAAAGATACTATTCTCCTGTACTGATTCCCCCTTGGTTCTTGTATCCCCGCTATTTAAGAAGTTGAGGAAGGAGGGGTGGACGCTCATCCGAGAGGAACGCTTGCTTGAGATTATGGCCTGGTTGGAGGGGGGCGCTTATCGGATATCAGGGGATGGCACCCATAGGTGCGTAAGCGCTTAGTCGATAAAATATGGTATACCAGCGATTTCAAGATGATTGGAATGCTATTGTACGATCGGGTCGAAGAAAACCTAACAAACATATCAATAAAAGAAATCTGTTGTGCTTCCGAATCAGTCATTTTGAAGGGAACCTGAAAATAGGATCAACAATTGAAGATTCTATACTCACTGCACTTTTGCCTACTTGGTTTATTTACTTATTGGATATAGTACATGACTCACCAAATCACAAATAATGTCTAATAGTTTCTTGTCGCGATGTATTTTCTCAAATAATGGGTTAATGGCGGAAGGAAGTGAAACTCGTTTTAAAGTAGGCTTGGATGAGTTGTCTCTCCACTCAAGATGGAAACTTTTATCTGAGTTGGTCATGGTGGCGCTTCTGAAGAAAAATAAGCAAGACAGACAAAAAATTGGATGTCAAAAATTACATTGACTTTCATATCTTCCCACAGTTACGGAATTTTTATGAGCTTCAAACGCACAAGAAATAAGCCTACACGAGCAAGCCATCATTATTAGCGCAGCAGGACGCGCGCTTCTCCACCCTAGGGAAGATTTGAGACGAGTCCGGCGGGAAGAGCTTTCAGAGGGTCTGGTAGGGCGAGACCCCTTGAGATCTTTCGCCGACCTGCAGTGCTCAACTTGAGGGCTTCAAATTTTATCACGGGCGAAAAAACGCTCGAGCCGAAGCGCTCATAATGATGGCCTGCTCCCACGCTCCAAGCAATTCAACACAGCGGCTGTTTATTTACTGTCATGTTCAGTTGGCAATTCAAACATAGCCCTGAACGGGTCATTTTACAGTTGTGTACTTAGTTGTCAAGCCTTTGATTTGGAGTAAGGCTGAAGGTGAGCTTCTTGTGATAGAGACCAGTATCTGGTTAGCATGATAAAAAAGTAATTTTCACTTGAAAAGCAGCAAGGTTTGTATCGTAACAAGGTCACCCCTAGCCTCACTCCTGTTCAAAGGCTTGGCAACCAAGCACGCAACTTTAAAATGGACTATTAAATTAATTCACTGGGCGTTTAATTATCCTAGCCCTCTGAGGGTTCAATTAATTGATGGTTTAATGTAATATTTCTTTACCATGTTTGCAAGCTTTCAATTATACTCAAAATTGAAAAGGAACCCAAGTCCCGAGGGTGTATTTGCATCATAAGTAACAATCGTCAGAGGCAGGCAATCTTTATTTTCAATTCTATTACAAAATTAGTCGATTGTAAACGCAAGGTTGAAGAGCTTTCAATAACTTTTTCCATAAACTGCTATAGATGGTGTAGTAGGCGGCTGTACGCAGAAAGTGGGCCTCAAGGCTAACCTCGAACTCAAGAGCCTGCACCCTGGCTAATCACTCAACGGTAATAGGACTTATGTATGACTTAAGACTTATGACTTAAGTAACCGGCTTTGTTGAAAACCCTTCCTCGCGCCCTGGGTCCCCTCTCTTTCTTAAAATGAGAGCACGAGAATAATTTCCCTTCCGGCCCCTCCTGACCAGCATATTTTCATACCAAGTGTATATAATACTCAACCTTTTAACAAAATCATCTGCGGCATCAGAAAGCTCTTTGACTTTGGCAGCATCAAAAACGTCCTCTACGACAAGATAACCGTCTCTCTCATACTGTAAGATAAAGACAAGTTGAGGGAAAATCAAATTTTAAACTTAAGTTTTCAATAAACTACATTTCCGTATGGCAAGGTAGTCCTGAGGTGAATCCGGGCGTTAACAACTAAGTCCGTATTTTGCCATACGGATCGTTTCCAAAAAAAAGGGTTATATAAGCCGTACTGCAGGCAAATTCAAAATAATTAAGTTTGGTACGAGTGAATAAACTACTAACTAACTAACCTTGTTTGCTTAAGCTGTGCTGGGAAACATTGGCCTTCGGTGCTCTGTTCGCTCTGCCACGACCTCGAGCCAAATTTCCCCAGTACGGCCCTCACGCTCGGTTATTAAGCAGTTGGAAGTGTTTATGTATGTTGCGTGACGTTACCAAGGGTAATATAATATGGCTGTGATACCACAGCTAGACCGCACTATGTGTTTGGGGTTAATAATTGTTGACGTGAGACAGCCAAAAATAATTTAGTTAAAGAGACGCTTCAAATGGCCCATGAAGGCTGAAAAATATCCCAAACACGTCGACTAACATTTCATTTCACTTAATTTAGATATTCAGACCGAGAGGTAATTTAGATATGTAATATTCAGAGCTTTATTCATAACTCCCGTAGATTTTCATTTTTCACGTGAATTCATTGAGACCGTCACTGCTACGGCCAGAGTAGTTCGTAATCAATTGCATAGATCGCTCGTTAAATTTCGCTCAGAACCGGCTAGTTCAGCCAGTAATAAACCCTTAAAAAGAGCGACTGACACTCGTGTCATAATGCATTAAGTTAAAGAAATTTATAATGGCACGAAATGATGATATTTCAGATTGCATCTCGCTCTCTCGATGGTATAAAACGTATACGAAACGTGATAGTACTACAACCGAATTACATGTACTGAGTGTAAAATAAAGATTATATTGATGCAATAATACCTTTAACTTTTGTTCATCTGTGAGGCCTAAAGTTGTCATTGCGCAATTAATCAACTAGCAGGAGCCTCGGCCCCAATCACAGGAATTACTCACTCAGTGAAACTGGGGGAGAGAGAATTAATTATTAATAGTCACGCTTTACGCTTTCACTAGTTTTCATTCAGTCTGAGCTAGTGATCAGCCTGACCGCTCGAACAGTTACGCCAAATGTTGAATAACTTGTAAGTGTCTTGAGAATCTATGGCAAAGTCATGGAATATGGAAATTAAAGTTTCTACTTTTATTTTATTTTTTTATTCATGACATTATCGCTTTTGCATACAGGCACGGTTACATAATAATTTGCGAAATACAACATTGCTATTAAATGTATTTAAATCTTGGTAATTTATTTGTAAAACAAGTAATAATCAAGGTCTTGTAAGGAGCGTTCGATCTCTGGAAAATAATATTTTTCGGCAGAAATATTCAGAGAGAGTGTTATATTTTTCCACGCAGTGTTATAAGCAAGTTGTAAAGTTGAACACAACAATATGGTTGAATAGCTCAGCATCTTGGTTAAGGACTTAATTCAAAGGTGTCGGTGGATTTGGTGAAATTGTTTAACATCCAGAGAGAGGCGACACAAATAGTATGCGTTCTCCTTCCGTCGAACACAACAAAGTAGACAAAATGGAGTTTTTTTTTCATAAGTGCGCAGCGGATTAGATAACCTGGTGGCCACTGTTTTCATTTGTCTGGTCACCATACAAGTCTGCTTTAAGAAAGAGCAAGATGGATGATGCAACAAATCTTCCTTGCGAGTCGTAATTGGCAGCGAATTCCTCTGTAACGTAAAAATTAAATCTTGGAGGATTTTTAGCGACTTAAACAAAGGATACAAAAAACTTCTGATGTTGTGTGACATTATCTGCGTGTAGGCAGGCCCGTGCCTCTCTCTCGGCGAGAGAGGCACGGAGAGACATTCGTGACCAGCTGGCGGATGATTAGCCAGTAATAAAACGCCTATTTTCCTGCTCTATTCATTTCCACGCACTGGGAAATTTACCACCGTAAAAATGCAGTGGGAGAGATTCTCACGAGAGGAAATGTTGTTTGTAATAAACACGTCACCCTTGTATTTGGAAAGTTGTTCTTCTTTTTGTGAAATAGTCCAGTTCCTGAACTCGGCTGTACCTTGTTGTATGATTGGATCGCGAACCTGATCCTCTGAGGTAGAAGGGATTCATCAAAAGGCTCTATAGGAATTGCTTAAATTTATTTTCTCTTTTCTTTTCTTCACTTTTTTTCCGTCCCTAGCCAATACGTACCCTCTGATACGGAAGTGGATTTCCCGGTCGAAACACCCTTAAACAGGCTGCGGTGAAGGGCGTGCTGCAGATTGTGATTAAATTTCATTCACGGGCCTCAAGGAAAGTGCTGATGGTGTTGATAGGATCTATGCAAGATATGATCAACAAAAAATAGACATAACATAAAATTGCAGGGTTTGATCTTCCCCCGTAAGAAGACACGCGGGGACAGCCCGAGGACAGGAAAGGGGGAATAGGGAACTAATAGACAGGGTTTACGTGTGTATGTGATTCTCGCCTTTTTTCTTTTTTTTTTTGGAAAAAAATGATAATAACAATGATGATAATGATGATGAAGCAACAATCTGGGTCGTTTCACAATCTGGCAAGATGCTGATGCAGTATTCTGACCTCGGCCTTTGACTCGAAATAGACGGTGGAAAGGTTAAGAAGTTATGTTCGTCGCGATAATCTCGATATAATTATTTTGAATCTTTCCAGCTTAAAGCCTAGTTGGTGGTCTAATATGATTTAACTCTGCTCCTGTTTTCACTAAGGTTACAAGGACGATGGAACTGGGGCTGCTTTAGCTCCCTACTTTTTGCAAGGACGAAGTTTCATTTTGTGTTAGCATGAGGTTAGTATGAAGAATAGCGCGAGAATTAGCATGAATAATAAATTTCAAACATTACTAGGGGGGAAAGGGTTAGCCCCGAATCCTTCTACAAACTCGCGCCAATACTCGTTTTCAAGCATCCTCAGTTAAAAATAGGCTTTGCTGTCCCTGCGTTACCATCAATCAAAACCGTATTTTTAACGCTCAGCTATTCAAAATGATTTCCTTTTTCTTTATTAACGAACATCAAGTGTCTATAAGGGCTTTTCCCGGTCGGCTGGTCAGTTCCCCTTTCGATTAATTATGTTTGCTTGTGGTTGTCTTGTGGAAGTACTTCTTCGCATTTCAGCCGGTCAGACAAGTTTTTTTGAGGTACAAAAGGTGTAAATTTAATCCTGTTACCGGTACGACCAGTCTAGCACGCAATTTTCTTTCCTGTAAAAGCTCAACTATTGATACTTTACTGCACTGCAAGACGAGATAATCACAATTGAAAGAAGCATTTTTGTTTTGTATAATATTTTTAGAACACCACGACAAACAGGAAGCGATCCGTTTCCTTGGGGTGTCTCCCTTGAGATCATTTAATTCCGGCCGAGTGATTTAGCGATCTGGAGAGAGTTATTGTTTGGACTGCTCATGCGTAATGGAATTTTCGTGATGTCATGATTAGATTCAAGAAGGTTCGCTATCAAACAGAAGGAAGAAGGATTTTTTCGGACTTCTAACAAAGTTCGGTATTCTACAGCCATGGAGGACGAAATGATTGATTACGGCTTCGAGGAAGATAGTGTAAGAGAGAAATTGAAAGCCGCTAGGGAGATTCTCCTCTTTAAACTCTTAACTTTCCGTGATGTTTGATTTGAAATATCCTTTTCGAAATTCGTTTAGGTGATGGTTATCGATGGCGAAGACGAAAAATCAAGCGAGAAGGAAAGCGAAAGAAGCCGAGAACTTTTCATTGAACAAAGTCAAGCCTGTGCTAAGCATTTTGAGAAATGGTCAGAAACCCAACAAGTCGAATTCGTTGAATTTCTACTTTCGAAAATGTGCCATTATCAACATGGACATATAAATTCGTATCTGAAGCCAATGCTACAGAGAGATTTTATAACCGCTCTGCCTGGTAAGTTGATTATACCTTTTTGTGCTCAGGCAAGTTTACTTTTCTTTTCGTGACAGGCTTAAGCGAGTACTACCATTTCGAATTAAGATCTATACGTAATGGTTTCACCAAACGGAGAACATTCAGGCGACACTCAGACAATTCCATGGGGTTGTTTTGGAAGGACTGCTGTTTTATCATAGTCACCTACAAAACTGATGTGTTGATTATAGAGTGTTTACCATTTTTTACGGGACCTTTTGACAACAGTTAAGTAACTTTTCATCTGGCAGAGGAAATTTCCCAATATCACGGGAAACCAATATCGGTGCTGTGGCATGTTTGTGTCAAAATATTTTCGACTTGCCGTGTTTAGAGATGGCTTGTGCACCTCACAATCCATCGGCAATTGTTTTCCTGAGTTCTGGGGAATGTTTATACAAGATTTAGCCCCGGCGTACCCTATAAAAAACTGTACTCTTAAAAATTAAGTGAATAGTTAACACAGGGTTAGGATTTTGCTAAACACGACCTTGAAATCACGAAAGATATTTATCGTCCAAACGTTATTTTTCAGCCGGTGATACATATCATGTTGTTATCTAACTTGTGCAATATCAAGTGATAACAAATTAAAGAAGGTGAATTTAAGAAATTATAGAAAATAACCCAAGGATTGCATCTCTAATGCCACACATTTCATTGTTTGGTTCCAATTTTAGTTTTTCTCTGAACGTTTTTTCTGAAAAACACGAGCCACAGATTTATTACTTGTTAATAGATCTTTCAAGGTGTTCTACACGCATGCATGTACTTGGCAATCTTTTTTATGCAAATCTTTGGTTTCTTTTTGTTTTTTGTTTTTTTTCCATGTTGTAAGCCACTGATTTACCGGAAGATCTTTATGACCTTATTATCAAAACTGAGAGAGTGATTAGTTCCAGATTGGCTGGTTTTTTTTGTCTTTTTGTAATGTAGAATTCAGCTTTACTCTCATTTCTGCTCTACAGCTAAAGGTTTGGACCATATAGCAGAAAAGATTTTGTCCTACTTGGATGCAGAGTCCTTGTGTGCTGCAGAAAGGGTTTGCAAGGAGTGGTATAGAGTAATTTCAGATGGTATGCTATGGAAAAAGCTCATTGAAAAGAAAGTTCGAACTGATCCTTTGTGGAGAGGATTGTCAGAAAGAAGGGGATGGTAAGTAAGGATAAATCATTTAACATGATCCTTCAAGCTGCTAAGCTTTGATCTAAATTGTGTTTGAGTAGAAAATTTCCTTAGTTACTTAGCAGTTATTGTGGCATACCCGCAGAATGGTTGTTTATCTTTTGATTCCACTGGTGATGTGAGGTGTAGGAGTTAGATATAGGCTACCAGGGTTGTAGCTAAGGATATGAGCCACTCAGGTTAGGATTAGAGTGAGCTAGCTCAAGAAAGGAATGCTTTATTGAAATAACATTCCCAATCTTTGGCATCCCCTTCTCAGCAAGACTTTTTCAAACATTTTAAATGAAAAGATTTCTTTCAATATCAAACAACTTAGCATGCATCACCTTAAAATGTTTGCCTTTACTAAGTAATTGCTGAGCAAAATAGAGGCAGCTCTCCTGTTACTCAAATGGCAAGTCTGAGCCATAGTAGTGGGTGGATGGCATTATCACCTTGCATCAAAGATGTATCAAAAGCAAAGTGTGTCTTTGAGACATATGGGACAGAAGTGTCTCCTCTTCATGAGTAACTTAGTGATCCAGATGTATTATCACATGTTTCAATATACTCTCCTGGTATATGTTATGATATGCTAGATGTAGTATCACCATCTGTTAGTTTGTGAGAAGACTTACAGTTGAGGTGTGTGTCTTTAGGGACAAGTATTTATTCAAAGCCCAAGTACCCGAGCTTCCTGACAATGCTTCCTTTAGAAGACTGTATCCAAAAGTTATTGAAGAACTTGAGGTAAAAAATTATATCAATGTGAATAAGTATTTAATGCTACAATCAAAGTTGAGCATAAAACTTTAGGTGACTCTAAATGATTTTGCTTATGTGTATACACTAATTTTTTTCACACATTGATGCTACCACACTTTTTAATGCTTTCCTTTTAAACTTATTTCTCAGCATGTTTAAATCATTTTCCAGCATTCAACATTACTATAGCAACACTATATGCTACAAGTACCCTCAATTCTAGCTTTATGTGCTTATAACTTAAAAATGAGCATCTTTTATTTCAATGTCCTCATTTTTTATTGTTAAGAGACAATCAGCATATCAAGATTCATTTTAATACAAAGGCTATGTGAAATTTTAAAAAAATTGAAAAGAAAGGAAAGAAAATATAAACAGACCATTTTGAGCCAGCTCAAATCATTGTTCTGGAAACCTCTGTATTATTAACATTTGTGTCTCTTAATTATTTACTGTAGACAATTGACACAAATTGGCGTTGTGGTCGTCATGTTCTTCACCGTATTCTGTGCCACAGTGAGAATAGCAAAGGTGTCTACTGTCTGCAGTATGATGACCAGAAAATAGTTAGTGGACTTCGAGATAATACAATTAAGGTATGCAGTCTGAGGATTAGTTGTTTAATTGATTTATTGTACCTCTAAATGTTTTTGCATGCTTATTTCTGCCTATTGTTGATTTATTTACTTCTAACTTGATTATGAAATGGTAGTCACATCAATACAATTTCTATTTTAAAGCACTGCTGAAATTGCATTTGTAATTTCACAAGGGGAAATTAATTTGTCTTCATTAACAGTAATTTAAAGTGGTGATGTACATTTTTTCACAATGTAGATATGGGACAAAAACAAATTAGAATGTGTCAAAGTTCTAACAGGCCACACTGGGTCTGTACTGTGTCTTCAGTATGACGAGAATGTTATAGTCACAGGATCAAGTGATTCCACAGTAAGGTACGTTTCAAAAACTGCCTAGGCTGGCTAATGAGCTTGGGAAGTTGCAGAAGCACTCTTCTTACTGTCTAATGTTGTTAGGAAAAGAAATGGTTTAAGTTTGAAACCTTTTATGATGATTACTCATGGGAAATGACAGTCAATGGAAGTTTCCTGTGTATTTCTTAATGCAGAGAGATCAGTTAAGGAGTTTTTGACGTAGTGAAATATTTAGACCTCAAATAACTTCAGGCAGGATTTATACCCTAAGTAGCCACAAACAAATGAATTTTTGGACAATATATGAACTTTACTCTATTCTTAAACAATTCCTAGTAGTGTCATGATGGTTTTATTATTGTTGACTTATTAGAAGGATCCTCTGGTAAAATCCTCTGATAATTTGAAACCACCAAAGTAAAGTGGTTAGTTTTAGGATCTGAAATAGGGCATTTTCATAGGGTAACAGTACAATAATAATTTGAATGTTTTTTGCTCAATTGGTGAATCTTGGGTCACATTTTAAATTTAACTTGAGTTGTGAAATTAAAGGATATGACTTCTAATTTCAGTATTTTTTCTTGGCTGGCACATGCATCTTATCCATATATTATGTAATCATATAGTTTTGTTATATAACTTGCAGGGTATGGAATGTTACCACTGGAGAAATGTTGAACACCTTAATCCATCACTGTGAAGCTGTGCTTCATCTTCGATTCCAAGAAGGCATGATGGTGACCTGTTCAAAGGTACTGAAATGAAATTATCATTGATTGCCATCTTAGAATGAGTGCCCATGCCTAAAGAAGAACTCCCCCCTGCCCTCAAAAAAAAAACAACAACAACACCCATCCCATGGCCAAGTTTGATGAAGATTAAGCACTCCTTTTTATTAATAAAGAAAACTTTATCTGCCGAGATTAACATGAAACAGTAACAACCTGATAATGTTGTGGCCCTCAATTCAAGCAAACTGAGAATAAAAGTAGTAAATAGATGTAAACATAGTGTTTAAGAACCCCAACTTGAAGAAGGCAGACCAGCTAGCTATGTGCAAAGTGCAGCCAAGGAGTTAAATTCAGGGCAACCAGAGACAAATACAGTAAGTATTCTTGTGATAAACAATCTCTCTGCCCTGGACTTTGGCTCAAATTTTAAACAAATGTCCAGGAGTTTCTTCAAGGAAATTAGGCATAGGAAGATGAAGCAAATATAATGTATTAGTTTTACTTTGAAGGAGTCACCTGTACCATCCTTGATCATGTCTACCCTTCCATTTGATAAAATCATGTTAGTTGGCTTATCAAACTTCAGTGTTTTGTCAGCAGAACTTCACAGTTTTCCTGCCCATTTGGGTGAAGGTTTTACATTACAGGCTCACTTGAAAAGATTTTCATCCTTGTTGGTCAGCAATGGCATTTGTAGTCAACAAACAAGGCAGAAATATCAACACAATTACACCAAATTACAGTTTCAGGGTTGTGGACTTGTTGGTATAAAACTGTGAAGTTTTGGTGTCAAATCATTGAAGTTTGATAGGCCATGGGAACTGTTTTTATTGCCTGCAAGGGTAGATGCAATTGAAGATAAGACCATGCATGCAATTTGAACAAACATTTCCACATCCCAAGTGACCGCATTGTGAGACAAATAATTACATTTCTCTTTTGAAATGTTATTTACCACAGTGAATAACCGTAATCTATTTTAAGACATTTTTGGTTTGTAAGTGAAGCACGTTTACTTAAGTTCTCTAAGGAAAAACACAGCAATACAGGTGGAACAGGTGCTTTGCGACAGTTGTTATCTCCAGAAGGGAAATAATTCTGAGCAATGTTTGCCTCAAACTTAAAACATTTCATGGTGATCTTGATAGGATCGCTCCATTGCCGTGTGGGATATGCAGTCCCCTACTGACATAAACCTGAGAAGAGTTTTGGTTGGTCACAGAGCAGCTGTGAATGTGGTGGACTTTGATGATAAGTACATTGTGTCTGCATCTGGAGATAGAACAATAAAGGTATCAGTGAAACTATTACTAGGGTTGACCAGCTAAAACTTTTTTTGTCTGGTTGAGGGTCTGGTCAAGGAAGGAGCTTTTAAAAAATGCTGCTTTTGTAGATTTAGCATGAAAAAATGATTGTTGTTTGGCTTGAGAAACTGTCTTTAGCTCCTTAACTCAGCAAGTTTCCTCTTATTTTGCCACAATGCATATTACTACATGTGGCTGTGTTAAAGGGCTTCGTTGAAACACATCATCTGTTCAAAACTTCAATGGTTTTTCAAAACTGTGTTACAGTGTGAAAAGAAAAAAAAATCCCAAACCCTACTTTGTTTAGGTCAGCTTGGTTACATTTAGAACCTGCATTTCTTTCTTGCTAAGAGGTCGGCCTTACAGTTTTGTCGATATAAAATAAGTTTACACATCTTTTAACACTCCATTATTCTGTAGTAACAATCTACTGTACTACTGTCTGATGAATTTTTACAAGCATTTTGATTACCTAGAATTTCTTTGAACTTCTTACTGCATAAAGATGTGACCCAGGCACCCAAGAACTGTAAGGTACCTTGTAAGGATGCTGTTAACTTAATTATACTTACAGTGTTACTTTTACCTCAGGTATGGAGCACCTCCACTTGTGAATTTGTGAGAACCTTGAATGGACATAAACGTGGCATAGCATGTCTGCAATATCGTGATCGTTTGGTTGTTAGTGGGTCTTCAGATAATACTATAAGGTGAGTAACCCCTAAGAGTGACAAGCATCTAATTTCTCCCTACAAGATCACCTCTGAATCACATATCAGGTAACAAGAATAGAGGAGATGATCATCAAGTAAAGAAGTTCTTGATTGTTAAACAAATTCTCCTTGTCAGCAATGTAAGAAATGTCTAGAGAACAGGTGAGTGTAGGGAATTTGCAAACTGATGTTAGGATGTAAAGGGTTTGCCTACTGATTGGGTTTTATCATAAATGTTTTTAATATTTCCTTGTGACTGTCAGAGGCCTTTTGATAGACATAATAAATAACAGTGGAACTCAAATTATGTTTTAGTAACATCTGGCATTTTTTTGTCTTCAATGTTATGGTTTACAACAGATTATGGGACATTGAATGTGGAGCTTGTCTTAGAGTCTTGGAGGGCCATGAGGAATTAGTCAGGTAATAAGGTTTTTTTTGTGGTATCTTGTCTTTAAACTAGTCCCTAATCCTCCAATTCCCAGAAGTGATTAACATGTAACTTCTCCAATATAATATCCATACATTAACCAGCAAACAGGTTATGAGAATACTCAAATTACTACAAGTAGGTAGAAGGAAGAATTAGCCATCAGATTGTGGAATTTAAAAGGTTAACCAAACAAAAAATCTAGTGTGAAAGATTGGACTAAATTTTGTTGTATAAATGTTTGGTTCTCAGGTGTATCCGGTTTGACAACAAAAGGATAGTCAGTGGAGCTTATGATGGGTGAGGAACTGTTCCTATCTCTAACTTCAGAAACAAGGAAAACAAGAAATATTCAGGCTGTTTCCTCAGTATATGAGATGAAGTTGAAAACAGCACTTTCTCAGAAAATACAACAAAAGGTTCCCATTCATTGTGGAAGAGGATGAAGTGTTTTTTATCCCTTTGTGTCTGATAGATTTGAAGAAGCAACACATATTGTTGGCAGAAATGCTCTACATAATGATGGTCAAAAAGGGTTTAAAAGTTTTTTGTTTTGGTCTGTTTTCATATGGATGGTTGGCTTAACTGTATAAATAAAAGTTGTTGTTGGAAAATGCAGTTTTTAATGGTTTTTGTAAGCTCTTTTTTTTGTCAACAATAAATCCACATTGAGTTTTTAGTTGGAAATTGAAATGAATATGTTTGAGGGCTCTAATGAAGGATTGACAAATCCAACATGTTGTGTAATCAATCCTGAAATACCTGGTCCATTTCTATTGACAGGAAAATCAAAGTTTGGGATCTTCAGGCTGCTTTAGATCCAAGGGCTCCAGCTGGAACACTCTGTCTCAGAACTCTTGTGGTATGTCACTATATCATGTTGTTAATTTGTCTTAAACCCTACCTTGTATCCAGATAATGGAACTTCAGCAAATAGTCATCTCTTTCCTTTTGGAGTCCATGCTATTGCAGACACTATGCCATTATGGACAGATTCAATATCTCTGAAACTGCATTAGAATGTATTGAAACAATTCAGGCCATTAAAGAATTGCAGATAATTTCATGTGGTCCAAAACTAACCTTTCCACCATTCTACTTGGTGGCCATGAATGAAGTTGATGTATTGAACAACTAATTTACTTTAAGTTGTCTAAGAGTGTTCAATTTGAACAGTATATAACACCATTTTGCATCAATTTTGTATCACATGAAAGTAAATTTGAACTACGAATTAGACAAATCCAGACATCTTTTAAGAGTGTTAAAGAGTAGACAGTATGTTACACTTTACAAAGGAACCCTGTGTTTCCATCTCCTTGTGCTGTTTAGGCTTTGCTTTTACAGGCACCAAATGGTGGTCTAAAAGGTGGCAGCTGCCTCAAAAGATGGCTATTTTTAACGTTGTTCTATTTCTCTACAGGAGCATAATGGCAGAGTATTCAGACTTCAGTTTGATGATTTCCAGATAGTTAGCAGTTCCCATGATGATACGATACTCATGTGGGATTTCCTTAATTACACTCCAGACCAAAATGGAAAAGCAGCCGTTAGCCCTTTAAGATGACCTGTTCATAATCTACCCCTAGCCCTTTGTTTATCATATATTTGTACAAAAAATGGAAACCCTCGAAAATGAAGATAGTTGTAAATAATTTATGGCATAGTAGTCCAATCATGTAGTATTTGGTGCTTACGCTAATGCATATAGAGAGAGTTGTGTAGGGTAAATCTTCATGAAGAGCGTAATAGCAGTATTACACCAATAACGTTTAGTTCACTGTTTCAATTGGGAGAATAATGCCCATAGGACTGCCTGTACAGGTAGAATATAACACTTTAAAAATTGTCCTGTTGGCTGATTTTTGTATATTGCTGTGTCACTTGATAGTTTCAGTCCATAAACTGGCATTGCTGGGCATGGTCAGTCACAAGTATGTGTTGAACTTCTGTGATTTGTGTTTGGCAATCAAGGACTTCTGTGGCTTATTCTTAACATTTCAAACTCCCAGTTAAATTTCCTATGCTTAATTATTTCATGGTTAGATATCTGTGTGAGAGAGTGAAACTTTCAAGTTCGTTTTCTTTTTAACTCAGTTGACAGAAACCTTCAATCAATGTTTTCTTCTACGTATTGTAAAATCAATCCAACAGGACTTGATATCTTGGCTTAATTTGCCAGAGAAGTTGTAGATTTCTTTGCAGTCTACATCAGTTGGCATGATAAGCTTTCAAGTCAGTTTATTTGAACACTTTAGGATTCAACACTGAGAAGTGTCTTCCTTAAAAGGACCTGTGAAGTTTTTTTCCTCTTTTGTCATCTGCATCAAATGAATTGGAGCTGCTGCTGCAACAACTCTTGAAACTACCTCAATCGCTGAGTCTTTGCCCCCTGACACAGTGAGCAGTTAACATTTTGGTTCATTATCTTTATGAAATTTTTCATGGAAACAAGGACATTTGAAAAGGAATGTTCTTTTTACAGAATACTGTTACACATTGTAATGTATAAGTTTGGTGTAGCATTTAAGCCCTTGATTACTCAGCTTTTTGATCAACTGTACATTGCAAGTTTGTTGTGGCTAGTGTAAAAATTATTGACTAATGCTCTTTTGATAATTTTCTCTTGGTTTATCTTCATCTTTGTCACTCTGACAAAAGCTTAAAATTATATTAAATTTTAAGGGTAAAGTAGTATTTGGTCTTATCTTTTGATTGTCATGTTATGTACTTAGTGAAGAGCTCTAAACTCTATCATATTTATCTCTCCAGGCCGAAAGCTCACCCTCATCTCAATGGTGTAAAAATAATGATGTATCTTCCAAACAAATAATTCTTGCTGTTACTGTTGTCATTTGTAAGTTCCTAGAATGGTCGTCATTCACTCTTTTCCCCGTTATTTACTTTATTTCTAATCAAAAGTATTGCAACAGTGGTGAGCTTTCCTAGTGAGCTGGTTCCAACTTAGCTTAAGTGTCTTTAATCTCATAGGTAGATTAAAAGCAATTATTGAAAAAAGTTACCTATATGTGATGATAATTTTCAGTTAATAGTGCAGTGTCAGTAAGATTATGTAATGATATTTACTGTGTGTTGTACATAATTGGTGCATGTCGTCCCTTCAAATTTTTGTATCTCTTGGTTTAGTATACAAAAATTGTATATTAAATTTTGTTTCACAACTTTATTTGCTTGATAGTTTGGCAAGGATTCTGAGCTGGGACACAACCTTAAAGAAGGCTGTTGTGGGTGTCATGCAAGCTAGAAAACAGAGGGTTGTTCCACATTTTCAATAGCTTTTAGCTTTGTTCCTAGAAAGAAAGCTGAGGAAAACAGCAACAGGTTCTCTGTGTTCTGTTGCAACTGCCTTCCTAAACTTTTATGTTAAAATGTACTGGAATACTTCATTGACAATTCTGATTATTCTGAGTTGGGGGGGGGGACTGCCCAGAGGAGCAGCAGAGGCTCTTGCCAGCATCTTCATTTACTCTGAATGCTTACAAACACCAACCAAGTAATTTGTCATGACAAAAACAAGAAATCTGAAGTTTACGTTTGCCCTTTCCCTTGAAATTGTGATACGTATTTGTGTAATCTTAGATTTGAGAGAATGCCCCTATAAAATATTTATTTTATGAATCCAGGCCCCTGATTATCTTGTATCAAGCCGGAATCATCGGAATTTAAATACACAACGCATAATGCTGGCATTATACTTTTTCAGGAAGCAGCGGGAGACCTGATTGACACCAATAGGGTGGGTAACTCAATGATTGCTTTCAAAGAGAAATGTTGCTATGGCAGTTGGACCTAAGTTAGTATGTAAATCATTGTTTAAAATGATTCAGCCCAGAATATTACCCAGACGAGCTATAAAGTCTAGTCATTGGGAATCTACAAACAAGCTGGAAGATACTGCTTTCGCATTTTTATTGAACTACATCAAAGTAGGCATCTGTGTCATCCACAAGTTGATACACCCTTCCTCGTAACTTGAGTCCCGAGTGTCTCAACATTTGGATGTATTTTCGGGTCTTTATCACAATATGCCATCGACGAGAAATTCTTTGAACGCACTTTATATCCTTCACATCCACAAGTTCACTGAGTGCCTCCACGATTTCCATAACCCTGAAGTCTGGTATAATTCTGTGGCTGTTGTAGTACTCTAAAGCAAAGAAAAAGCACACTGCATCCTCTCCGTAGGTAGCCAGCTCTTGTTCCTTGTCTGTCGGGATCACGCCGTTATTTAGCTTCTCTTTCACCATGAGATTATCTTCATACGAAAAATGGTCATCAGAAGAGTTAAGCGCAATATCCTTCTTACTTACAACATACAATTCATCGTGGATTTTGTCGAATCTTGAGAAGAATGGGTAATTAAACAAACCCTGTGCATTCCTATGTGTTCTGTTTACGTTGTCGTCAACCTCGACAATGCCACAATTAGCACCAACCTGTGTGTGATTTTCAGACAGAGGTGCCTCTGTGTCGGAGTTATTTCCTTCTTGAAAAGAATGTTGATATTGTTTAGATCGGCCCTTGAAGTTTTCTGAAAGTTTAATTTGAATATCAATTCCTAAGCTGGACGTTTCCGTCTGCGTCCCAGTTGAACATATTTTGAATACTTCCGAAGGTAGAGGTCCGGATTTGTCTTCGTCAATTTCAGATTCTTCCAGATCCTGCTTAAAAGACTGACTCTCCTTCAAATTTACGTTTGTATTCTTCTTGGACTTTGTCTTCCTCTTCTTTCGTCTCCTGGACAAATGTTTTCCCTTTTTCGAGTTTTCCCGGGAACTTTCTTCGTCTAAGAAAGGCCGGAGGCCTAAAATGCCATTGGAAAGATCAACCTCGCAGACCCCAAGTTCCTCAGCTTCTTTCAAAAATACATCAGGAAAACATCCAACACAGCCGATTCCTGTACACAAAATCCTTCCCTCTGAAGTTTTGTGAGTTTCAACCCCCGTTGCCCAACGATTCGCTGTCACGAAACCAGCCATCTTTCATTTGTTTTGATACTGACCGGGAGGGGAGGGTGGATACCAATGATTTTAATGTCACGTGGTCGTTTTAAGGACGGTTTGTTTGGGCGCCAAGATATGAAAAGTATATACTGCGTTTAGATTGAAACCACAAACTTTTATCTTACAGTTTACTTCCAGCCTATTCGTGCCTTTTGATAGGAATATCACTTTTTTTCATTTAAATCGACGAGAAACACCAAGAAATCATACAGTTATTTCAAAAAATCTTTTATCTCAGCAAATATGGCGGCCGTCTCTTCACCGTTTCGAACACCAGACTTAATCTCTCCCAATGCGAGACGACGTCGTGCAATTGCCCTAAAAAGCACTAACACTCCGCCAACACACTTAAGAGAAAACGACGATGCTGCAGAAAGAAGGCAGAGGCGTTTATCTAAGGCGACATCTGCCACCCTTCAAAGTCCCGCAACTCCGAGAAGTGCAACTCGTCTTGACAGCGAAAGGTACTAAATATCCTAAGTTTATTTGATCATTTTCCTCGGTGAATGTATAGAGAGTTTTGAAACAATTTTTAAGCTTTAATTCCACTTCGATAAGTGAATGGTTATGTTTTTTAAATACCATGATAAAATAGTACATGTACGTACGCTCGAGTCATGTATGTAATTTGTAAGTTTGTGGCAGCTTACCGTGGTACGTTCACTAATTAAGATCACTAATCGAACTACGCAATTCTGTGAACTACATCCTCTCTCTACATCGCTTTTAACGTCTAGAACATATCTCTAAATGACTTGGATATTTTCCTACATGATATGCTTAGTTTTATATTAATCAATATCAGTATGTTACTCAAACAATTCCTTTAATTTCCTTCCAAATTAAAGTTACTTTCCTCCTCCCCTTCCACCTGATGATTGCACCTAAAAACTGTGGTTTCTTTTCAGGGGCCAGACTACAGGCAGCAATGGATTAACTAATGTTCAGTTGAAAGACTTGTATTCAAACTGCATAAAGTTGTCTACTGAGAATGTAAGTGTGCCTCAACTTCACAAATATTTAAGGCGTAACAGTCTTCATTTATACATTACAATTATTTAACTTGAAACATAAAATGTACAATATGTATTAACCCTTTAAACCCCTAAGAGTGACTAGTGTTTAATTTCTCCTTACAATATCACCCCTGAATTACACTTTTAGGTTAGGAGAATAAAGGTAATGATCACCAACATATTATCCATCCCAGCAACTTAGTAAGTGTATAGAGAACAGAATGGAGAACATGCATAGTGATGTTAAGGTGTTAAGGATCAAGTTGAGGTGTAAGTCATTCTTCTCTAGCAATCCTCTCAAGGGTGTTATTAGGCAAAATTTTATAGCAGATATTTCAGTCACAAGTCATCTGGATCCTGATTAAAAGGATAGAACTTTAAACAGTCTTGTCGTGTTACAAAGTCAATCATTATGGTCTTCATGTATTTTACTCAATGTGCATAACACTGATTCTTTTTAGAAAATAAATGCCAAAAATGCCTTTGGTCTGCATTTAATTGATTACATGCAAGACTTGATAAAAACAGTCAAAGAGGGAGACATGACTAACTTTCAGGTAATAACAATGTCAGTTATTTGAAAATATACAGTAGAACCCACAAACTTGAACTCTCAATGGAAACAAAAAGTGGTTCAAGTTATTGGGATATACATTGAATTCCATTTGTCATGTAAATAATTAATAACAAATCCTGTTTTTACCATCCTTGCACAATCAACAGTCATTTTGTTACATTAAGTTTGTTTTGTAATTACTTTTTTAAAGAGAAAGTTTAGCTAATTGTTTTATGTTTTCATAAATGTTGTGTTTGTATCAATTGCAATTACAGATTGGAAGGTGTCTATTAGCTATTTTCTGACATTTATTAACCAATGTTTTTAGTTAAAGTTCAAGTTACTGGGGTAAATTTTGGCCAAGGGAAAGTTGCATTAGTTCGAATTGGCAGGGAGGTCAAGTTAACCAAGTTTGAGTTGGAGGTTCTACTGATTTACTAGTTTCTATCTTTGGATATATCACAGACACAGGCCCATGCTTCTACATTGCATGCGCTGGGAAAATTGTTTTGATAGAATTATTATTGCTGGTAAAGAAGCCTTAGAGGAGACAAAAAATTAATATGTGATTTCGTTACTGAAAGGTTGCAAGCTGTACATTAGATGCAAGTGCCAAAATCTATGCTGGTCGTGTTGATTCCATACATGCACAAGCTTATAAAATGCTAGGAGGTTTAGGAAGAGCTGAAAACCAAGGTAAGTTTGTGTTTGAAGATAAGTTTGTATTATTGTTGTTTCATTTGTTAGCAAAGGGTGCATAATCAAAGTAAGAATTTTCCTCTTGAAGTAACTGGAGGCCGTGGTTCCAAATATAATTGCCTGAATTTTTATGGCTCTAGGACTGTTCTCCCTTATTTTGTTGAACTTTGAAGAATTCTGAGCTATTATTGGTGGCAATATAAGGTACTACTAGTACTAAATTTTACAGGTTATTGCCTTAAAAGGAGAACACTGCTGGGATGGCTGTATGGTACTTATTATTACTTGGTTTTTTAAAAAAAAAATACCCTTGGAACAGAAAATCTGAGTAAAACAAGTAGTATGCACTGTCAGTATTGTTATGTCTTTTTAGACCAAAGGGCATAGGCTTGATAACTAGCAGCAGTTCAGGAAGTTAGCCTGCACCTCACTCCCTTTCAGGAGAATACAAGCCCTTCTTCAAAAAATGGTGGAAGGCATTAGCCCACTAAAGAAATGAACAGGGTTGAGATGGCAAATTCTGTGTGTTCCTAAGACCCCTAAGAGTGACGAACATCTGATTTCTCCATATGATATCACTCCTGAATCAAATATGAAGGTCATGAGAACAAAGGGAATGATCACCAACTAAAGAACCCCTGGAATGGTGAAAAACAAATTGTCCTTGTCAGCAACTTAGTAAATGTATAGAGAACAATACAGAGAATTCCTTATTGCAGATGTTAGGGTGGAAAGGGCTGACATTTTCACTATTTCTGAAATTTCTGTATCCCTGCCCATCAGTTGTGGAATTTTGAAGTCAATTATAATATTTGGAGCAAAAAGATGAAATATTTGAGAGGTATCATATACTATTGTGTTGTAGATGGTGATGAGAATGATGGTGAAGGTACTGGTGAGGAACTCCAAGGGTCCCAGAAGCCAAAAAAGGTATTATTTTGTTACAAGTATTAAAGGCAATTCCTTCATGTTATGTTATTTCATATAATTAAGGACTTGTACCAAGTTCATAGGCAGAGGTTTTCATAAATTCAAAAGTGAACTTAAGAAATGTTCATTTTTATAAATTTCAAGAGTTTTGAGTTATGAATTTTAAGTTGGTGTTTTAAGATAAAATGTAAAGTTTTTGTTGAATTAATGGGTTGTCATCATGAAAGACCTGTCTTTACACAATTATCTGTATACTATAGAAATAAAATATCTCCTATGCAAGTAAATTCTGCTCACAAACAGCTTAATTTGCATTATGGAACCTTCAACCACAAAGAGGGTACAGCATCCAACTTCTCCTGACAGGATAACCCCTGAATAAAAATTTAAAGCCATAAGAACAAAGGAACTGATCAGCAACTAGAGCAGTTCTCTATTTTGAACGAATTCTCATCTCCAGTTCCATGGGAAAAGTAACGCAATCAGTAGGGAGAATATGCACTTTTATATCTGAATGTAAAGGGTTAAGGCTTGTGTGCTCTGCATTATTTTACTGCTTCACACAGCTGCATTTTTTATTGTTTATGGTCAATATTGACAATCTCTTCTGTGGAAAATCATAAATTGTACCCATAGAGGTTAACTGAATTTTAGCCAATTGTTATAGACTTCTTGGGACTAAAACTTGGAAAAGTAGATACTGAGGGTGTCAGTTTTCCTAATATATCACAAGATGATTCCTTTTTTACTTGGTGGAATCATGACTTTAATCTTGTAATGTCTGGACCAATTAAGGAGACAAAAAGTTTTTAAAAGATCTGTCTACAGCCTTATCCTTAAAAAAAAAAAAAAAAAAAAAAAAAAAAAAAGCTATTTAGAATTAAAGTCTCGACAAATTCCTTACCCCAGTCACCAAGCCCACCCTTCCCTCCACCTGTTACTCAGTAGCTAAAACATCTTAACAATCTAAATACTCTGTGTTTTATGTTTTGTTAAAGGCTGCCCATCATCGGCCTGGAAATACCATCGAGTCCAACCTCAAAAATATTAACGTCAACCAGTTTGATTTAGGTTTTGAGGTAAGTACTCTACATTTGTTGGTTAATTTTCTCAGACATAGTAAAGGCATTCAATAATTTAGTGATGACTACTGTTTATTAAAGTTGATTAGCTTAAGTTTACTCTCCTTCTGTCACTTTAGGAATATTTAAATTCTCTATGTACATGACATGTAATACATAAACCACAGATTACATGCATATCATTGTTTAGAGACATTCTCACCTCTAGCAGCTACACCTTTTATGGTAAATAAGTCACAAGAAATACCTGATAAGTTTGAGTACTCTCATTATCTGTTTGCTGGATGATGTACTGTATGGATATTACACAGGGAGAAGTTACATGTTAATCATGAAAAAAGAGGCAGAAGCATATTTTTTTTCTATGTGGTTAGGTTGATCCATTATTCCACAAGACATCAGCTGCATTTGATGAGGGTGGAACAGGAGGCTTGCTTCTCAACCATCTTCATGTGCGTGATGACACATGCGATCTTCTGCTTGACTCCACAACTTTAACTGGTACAACAACCAGGGAGATGTCATCTGAAGGGGAAACAACATGCGACAACAGCATGGTTGACCTATCACAACTTCGAGGCAAGACTCATTGTCATTATTATCACTCATCTTATTGATTTAGGGATTCTGATGTTATAGAATAATTGATCATGGAATGTTGTGAAAATTGACCTGAACATGCACCTTCATGCAGAGCTTGACATTGATGGCTCAGGAGAGATTAGATAGGATAATAGCCTGCTCTATATTATGTAATGAATATCTCTATAGCAATTATGAGATTTAATTTTTAATTAAAAAATCACTTGTACATGTCTTCATTAAAGTTAGATAGTTAAATGTATGAAACTCACTCGCCCTATTCACTCTCAAAAGTTTGAATACTAAATAATTTTAGTATAAATCTGCCAACATTCTATCAAAAACACTACAATCTGATTGGCTAAACTACTAGCCATCTATTTAGTGATAGCCGGTAAGTAAGATAAGAAACCAAAAAGTATGAAGTTGTAAACGAAATTTGAAAAAAATGGGAGGCCGTGTTGTTGTTGTTGTTGTTGTTTTTGTTAACTTTTAAATGACTGATAGATCTCAATTCCTATGTGGGATATTTGAGTCAGGCTTCACCCTTATCAACTATGGCACAATAGAAATCTCACGCTTGATTACAAAGGTACATTATCTTAATCTGGAGCAAAGGAAAAGGTCAAGTTAACTGGTTGAACATTTTTCAATCAAGAAAATTTGAAACACAACCCTAAAAGTTTATTTACTGAAGGCAGTGTTATATTAAATTTTACAGATGTTTACAGTTGTGTCAACTTTGAAGATCTGCAAATTTGTCCTCACTTTGCTGATTTTGAGTTCACTAATTGGGCAAGCAACAGAGAGGTAAGAAATAATAGCCTTTGTCACAATTGATTGCAAACTTCAAAAAAGTTGTGCTGTATATAAACAAAATAAGAGGGTTAGATCTGCTCTCGTTCTCTTGTTTTTGTATTTCACTAATTAATAAGCCTTTTTCCTAGTATTAACAAGAGATTTCTATGGTTGCAATAGAACTGAGTGGAGTCCTATTCGGTCTGTAATCATAGGAGTGATTATCAACATTGAACAAACACCAATGTGTAACAGCATGCACATATGATGCGCATCGTCCAATTACACAGGCGTAACACATACAATGTTCTATTATTGCTCAAATAGGGCTGGGGATCACCAATCTTGTTCAATAATTTTGTTATAGTTTTGATTACAGTTGAACCCTGATTATTGTAATTTTTTCATTATCTGGACTAGCTTCTCTGGTTCCATGTTTCCACATATATTACTTAGTCACATTTGAAATCCCTAAAAACTTTTTCATATGCAATTAATGCAACTTCAAAGAATGATAGAATTAGCTACATGCATACACTGTAGCAGCTTGAAACACTCTGATTTGTGTCAGTATTTTATATCATAAATTGTTGCATGTTGTCATAAACATTCTTGTAAATACTTTGGCAAGTTTTGGTAGCACAATGATTTGAGAGTGTACTTTATTTCTGGCATAATATTGATTAAACAATGCATATTCAGTTTTATTTTTTAGCTAGCTACTATGGACATTTTTGATTATCCAGACTCTTAATTATGCAGACTATTTATCCTAGTTCCCATGACTCCAGATAATTGAGGTTCAACAGCCGTCATGATATATCTTCAGTTAATGATCTTTGGTTGAAATTTGGCACTTACACTGTAATCCCCTATTTTGAGCTGGAAAATTATTCACTGCTATGTCATGGGAATTCAAAAAATGCAAAAAATCAGACCAGCTTGGTCTGAACATACAATCAGCATATTCATTCTACAAGACACTATGATAATCACCATTTAATTAATGGATTTTGTAATTGATGGCCCAGTAGCTCATCACTTTCTTTGAAAATCTAGCAAGCCAATACAGATTATGGTAAAATGGTGGCAGACATGGAGAAGAATGAACATGCTTTTGATGTTGATGGACCAGGTGAGAAACCACAGCACCTAATTTTAAAGAAATACTGGCAACTGTAAGTAATTGCTGTCCAGTGCTGTAGCTGCAAAATGTTAACTTGAATCATCCTGTGTATTCTTGAAAATACACAGACTTTTCATCACAGCAATACATTACAAACCCAACAATAATAACAACAAGGTGCTTTGGTTTATTTCTTAGTTAGATGGTGACAAGTGTCCTGGCCTGTGGTAAGCTACCTGCTTATCTTGGTGGGCTAGTACACTTTAAAAATTTTCAGACTTTATGCATAGGGAAAGTTTGCTCAAGAAAATACAAGCAACCATGTCACAATGGGTTTTAGCTGTGAAACTTGTCTGTTGAGAGAGTGGCACAGGTTTTCTGGACCAATTACAAAGCAAAGTGAAGCAAAACCTGTCTGAGTAATCTCAGATTACTTTTGAAATCCAATGATTGAAAATTTACCAAAAGACTTCAATCGAGTGTTTGTTTTTGTCTGCATTTTAGTCACTGAGCCAGAGGCAGAGTGTGATTTTCCAGAACCAATAGGAAATGGTGACATTAGTGATGATGGTATGCCTGACATGGGTGAGGTAAGCACTGTTACGTATTCTTGCAGCAAACAGTAATAAACTGGTTATTGCTGTGTTTATCAATGGACTTGGATGATGTCATCAGGACTTGCTATATTTTACAGAAAGCTATCCATGATTTTGAAAGTCAGTAGAAGTTATGGTGATTTGTAACATATGGAAGTAAATTTTCTTTCTCAGCAGGACATTGAGTATGGAAGGGATGGCTGTGAAAATGTCTTCCGCAACCCCATCTGTAATGCCTCGCTCGCCTTTGCTGATGGACAAGAAGCTAGGCTTGTTGTGTCACAGGATGGAAGGTTTGTCTGTTGTGAAAAGCATAATTGGCAGAAGATGAGAGATTTGTAAATTCTGAATATTGAGTGTCTTTGTTATTCAGGACAACTATTGCTTCTGCTGCTGCAACTGCAGGGTCACTGTGTTTGGAGCTTTCATCGCAGCCTAGTGACTATTCTTACTTCAAGTCTGACCTTATGTCCACCTGGGCAGGACCATTACATTGGAAGCTTCGTGACAAGCTTTCAAAAGGTTAGATGTGATTTTTGTGGTTTTTTTGCTTTACTGCTTACAAATGTGTTCACCAAGCAAACAATTAACTCAGGGATGACTATCTGAGCAGTTATGCTCCAATCCCCTCCCTTAACCCAAAAACAGTCAAAAGATAACAAGTTAAGGTTATTGTTGGGTTAGGGGAGGGGTAGGTGCTCAGTTGCTCAGATACTGACATTGATCCAAATTTAATAGGTAAGTTACTCTAAGCTTTTAAAGTGAGCCCTTTTATTGCAATGCCATACCTTTTTCTGATTGGTATTTTTAGTCTTCTAGCCAGTTATCTTTCTTTGTGATCCTCATGAAGCAGGAGACAAACAGGCTGCAGCACAGTAGAAGTCTTTATTATTTTATGGGAAATATAAAATAAAACTCTATTTGACTCTTGGTAAAGGTTACTGAACCAATAAAAGAACAAACAGAGCTTTATCTGACCTCAATTCTTGATGTATCATGAAGATCAGTTTTCATATATTTCATAAATTTAGTTTTCTGTACCAATCCATTCTTACAATGAAGTGGCAATAACTGTAATTCTACCCATGCTTATACCACCTATTATTTTAAAACAATGTCTTTGTTATAGGTTTGATAAACTCAACAGCTGAACAACAAAGTAAGAAAAAGAAAGCAAAGAAACAGCCTTTCACAATCAATTTTGACAGTGAGGTGGATTTTGCAAGCAGTTTTTCAAAAGGAAAGGTAATGACATTTAATATTGCCTCCGCGCTTGTATGTAGTTTGGGGCTGTACCTATTGTCCATTAATCTGTTGGTAAGTATATGATAATTGAAACTAATATGAATCTTAAACACTATTTGAATTGTTGGGCTTACTGATTCATCTGGCTGTCATTATCTTCTTGCTTGTAATCCCAATAATGCCCCTGCAAGTTAGAGATAATTTTTTTGATCAGGAGGAAGTCGTATATGAGGACAAAGCTCCTAAGTCTCATGCATTAAGGGCAAAAGTCATGCAAACTTATTAATTCAATCTCATGTTCTCAAGCTGAAACTGTTATTTCTCATGCATTTTAAGATTTTTAGATTTAAACTGTTGATTTTGAGACAGCAAATTAAGGAAAATAAAAAATTAACACCCTTCTAAATATAATTTACTCCTTGTTCTCTTTTTGCTCACTGAAAACACTTTCCAACAGTGGAAATTTTTGCTCAGATGAAAGAAATGCACATCTTAGTTTCCTTTTTGTTTTCACAATTTACTCCTGGGCATGGCTTTCATACATCTTCCCCCTGGAAATAATGCCCACCAAAGTCAGATGCATGTAAAAAATTTCAGTGTTTGCCAGAAAATAAACTTGAGAGCTTTGAGATGAGTGGCAGTGGATGAAACAAATTACTCTCCAGCTGTGATCAAACAGCTCTGTGTGAAAACATTCTGCATGGATAACTCTTATTTGTATCCTAGGCAGCAACAACATTGTCCAAAACAACCCTGGCTAAATACACAGCAGCCAAGAACACATTACCAGAAGACCTTCACTATAATGCAGACAAACTCTTTAGGCTTTTTATTAAGCCCAAAATTATGGTTAGTACAATTGCTTGTGTTTAATGGAGGATTTTTCATTATAATCGAAAACCATAGATGTCTCCAGACATTTTAAGAACTTACAGTAGTTCTAAATAACTATTATATTCTTTATGATGACTTGTCAGTATTATTCCCTTACATAAACAATGAAGGTTAAACCCTTGAATTGAAAGGGACAGGTCACCTTAGATAACAATTGAAGAGGAAACTTTTTTAGGATACTAAATACTGTTTCACTTTTAACTATTAGTATTATTTTACCTTTTTTGTTTTCCTTTTTTGAATTCCGTGTAGGTTAAACGTCAAGTTCAAGCACAAACAGAACTTAGAGATGATGGTGAGAGATGTTCTTTGCTCTCCAAATAAAGCTTCTGTGTATGATGCATATAGCTACTTTGGTTGTTGTGGACTTTGGTACACTACAACCATTTGGTAGACCATAGCTGTCATCACCCAAGCTGGCAAATTTCTTTGTTCCTCACCAAGCTTCCTCAACTTGAGAAAATAAAACAAATGCACAATGTTGTTTGATAACACAAGACAAAAAAAGAGAGCGCTTGCATTAGCATGCCACTTTTCAGGCCCTTCATTGGTTATGGCAAAATTTTTGAAATTTTGCTGAAATGCAGAATATTTATTGTGTGCTGTGGGAAATTTGATGTCACATTAGCATGCGACTTTTCAGGCCCTTCATTGGTTATGGCAAAATTTTTGAAATTTTGCTGAAATGCAAAATATTTATTGTGTGCTGTGGGAAATTTGATGTTTCCAATTTTCCCGCTTTTACAGATACTAATACCCTTTCAACGACTAATAAACCCTGTTGTACCATAAAAATGAATGATAAATGGCAAATTGCTGGGTGCAATTACAGGTTAATCCTTTGCAAATCTTTGTAAATCATCATTACTTGACCACTTCAAATCAGTCAATTTTTCATAGGATAAGCTATCAATCATCATCTGTCTGATAAATACAACTTCATTTTTCCCTTTTAAACCCTTAGAGTGTCCAGTATCTAATTTCTCCTAACAATGATACTGTTGAATCATTCATTAAGATCATGAGAATTCATTAAGATCAATAGAATAAAAAGAAATGACTACCAACCTATGAAAACAAAAATTCTCCATGTCTATGCCATAGGAAATGTCTAGAGAAGACTAAGGAGAATATGTATCCTGATGTTAAGGCATTAAGGTATTACATGCAAAATGGACATATAGTTGATGTTCTGTATTTTTTTTTCCCTTGGCAGGTTCAGCTTGGTATAACTATGAGAATGCGAATGATTGTGCTAACTTCTGTCCAGATCTCCAAGTAAGTGCTGTCAGCAGAAGCCTTCTCATGTCAGTCATTGTTGGTGCAAACTTCAGGCTGGCAATTAGTTACACGTATGCAAATTATGAGATCCTCTGTTAAGTCTTCACTTAAGTTTCTCAGGCTAGTTGCATTCATTTGGCCAAAAAAACATGCCCAATATCAGAAAAAGAATTGTCTTTCCTAGGTTCAGGGTACTTACTCAGTCTTAATTCTTGAAAACATACAGAAAAGGGCAACCTAAATTAATTTACCAGAGCCAAGAAAGGAAATGAAAGGTGTAAGGTGGTTATTCCAAGTGTTTTTATGGTGGCTGGACACACAGTAAATGACTGTGGCCTGTCTGGGAAATTCCACAAGTATTACTTCGTCTGCTTAGCCCCAACCCAGGTGGTTGGTTTACACAATTGACCAATGTCAGCAAGGATGTTGCAAATGATGTTTGAGACAGTTTAAGTTTAAAAAAGCTAGGACAATTTTGGTCATTCATGGCCATCACACAAGTTGTGCCAGGTGTCGAGAATAGTTCCCCATCAGCCAAAAAGCCAACAGACTACATGTTTAAATTAAAAAAGATTGAGACACAATTAAACAATCATAAGATGTTACAGAGATTAAAGCAAAAGTCTTTATTAAACTGCTTTGGCAAAACATTAGTGTTAAAAGTAATATTCACCTGTCCACATGTGAAAATATGCTAAGACGGAACTTATTTAATTACAAGCATGCAAAACTCTTGATTGAGGTAGAGTAAATGGATCAAAAAGAATATCTGTTTTTGTGAATGTGAGAAAATGATAGTTTCAAAATTTTCACAGTTTGAATTTATTTAATTTAACTTCTTGTGTACTGGAAACTGTACCACATCTTGTTATTGTAGTAACAATTTTTTCTTAATAGGATGGTGGCGATGATGATGGTGATGATGCCTTTGATGGTGCAGATGGTGGATGCGACATGCCTTCTGGAGAAGCAGAATTCCCATCTTCACAGGATATGACCTTTGGAGACTCGACCCAAAGCCACAGCTTCACTAATGAGAGTGTAGTGGATCAAACACTCTTTGCTGGTGATGGCCTTGTTGCCCAACCTAATAAGGTGTGAATAATTTTTTGCAACAAAGTTATTGTGGACACCTGAAGAGAAGGTTGAAGAACAAATTAATTAATCCTGCAAACAACAGTCCTTGTTTGAAAGGGACAACAGTGAAGCTGAGGTTCTCAAAATTAATTTTCCCCCTGATCTGTGAAAATGAGTGTCATGATTTAAGAAATTTGTAGGACTCTGCATATAATCCTGCTCATAAAAATTATTCTCTTCCTGTTAATAAATTTACTTTGATTTTCTTTACTGCAGGTTCAGAAAATTGACATTGGCTATGCCAAAACTGCTAAAAAGATGGATGTGAAGAAATTAAAGGGTGCCATGTGGGGACTTTTAGCTGACAAGGGTGAAAGCGACAAGGTTGGTTGGCTTATTACTCTTACTGACTGTTGACAAAGCAGTTATCATAAAGTAAAAGATTTAGTTTTCTTAGATCATGTTTTTTTTCACAATGTCATTTTGATGTTACATCACAAATATGAAGTATGCTTTATTTTAGTGTCACTTATGAAATGTCATTGTTTTTTTATTTAACCCCAAACATCAGGAAAATATTGCTGTAGATCAGTATGGAACAGGAAAAGGCAGTGGATGTGTGACATATCCCTGCTCATTTAAGGAAATCTATACTAAATTACCTGAAAAGCTTTCCAAGAACATGGCTAAGAATCTCTCAGTATCCATTGCCTTTGTCTGCATTCTTCACCTGGCAAATGAAAAGGTAACAGCGAGACATTCAACAAACCACACCCCCCCCCCCCCAAAAAAAAAATAATAATAATAATAAACCCACATTTTGAACTTCAGTTACTTTAATGCAATAATTTCTAAAATCTTATCTACTCTGAACATTAAAGAATGAATACCGATACAAGATGTATACATGCATTTCCCTAAGATAACTCTGTAAGAGCCAAATAAGCCTGAGAGTTAGTTTTTCCCCACAACTGTATTGAATTAAGTGTTACCTGGCTGTGTATGCTGCAAGTGGTAAAGCAAACAGTATGGAATAGGTTGGGGTTTGCTTTCCTTTTGATCTGTTGATCTGGCTTGTTATATTATTTACAGATGTGATGAGTTTATTCAGATCAGAATTATCAATTAATTACAATATACATTAAGGTTCTACTGTATCTTTCTAGTGCCTCAAGATGACTGGTGAGCCTGGAATGGGGGACTTTTCTATTTCTCAGGGCATTTGATGCTTTTCAATGTACTTCAGTCTGTCATCTATTATAAACTCATGAAACAGTGTGAAAAAAGAAATATGCATAACATTTCAGCATTGTATTATGTTTTGATCATTAATAAACAAATAATTGGAGTGGAGTATCATCTTAACTGTTCAGAGAATTAATGTAGCAGATTTTTGTTACAATATTACATGATTGGGGTAAATTATATCAAATGAGGTTTGTATTGTACAACCTCCATGAATAAGCCAATATGACAATCACTGTGACAGATCTAACCCATTAACCCCTAATAGGGATAGTTTAACTTTTCTTAAGCTTTTTATCCAGCTTTCTATAAATTGTCCTTGTCAGCACCACAGGATATGTATGAAGAATAGTATGGAGAATATGCTTAATGTCAGGATATGTGTAAAGTAAAAGTACATGAACATGACCTTGTAAAAGAAAACCAAATTACCATGTACTAACAAGAGTATTTAGGTCATTTGTGAAATCTCTACCAGACAAAAGAGTTTGGAAATGACTGAATTATACAGAACCCTCTCCTAACCTCTAAATAAATATTTGACTTTAATTGCTCATAATAATTATAAAACAAGTTGAAATGTTATCCAAGAACCCCATGTTATATACAAAAGGTACTGAAGGTGTTTAACCCTTCTCCCCCAGCCTGAAAAGGTTTAAAATTTATTAACTGACAAGAGCTTGAGGGAAGAGAAAAGAACACATGATTACAGAAATAATTGCAATGCTCTTGAACAAACCCTCTTCTTAACTATTCAAAGACTGACTCCTAAGAATGACCAGCTTCTAATTTCTCCTTACAATATCACCCCTGAATTACACATAAGAGTCTCAAGAATAAAGGAAACAATCACCAACTCAAGGAACTCCCTATTGTAAAATAAATTACCCCATCTCAGCATCTCAAGTAATGTATGAAGAACAGCATAGAGAATATGCATTATGATGTTTGGATTTTAAGGGCAAATGGATATTTTGAAAGAGTGATGATATCTACTGAGAAGGCCCACTTCCCAAGTGGTTTTTTGTATGGCTTATGCATGTGTACACAATCATGGTACGACTTAACCTTGTGACCCCAAGAATGACTAGTATCTAATTTCTCCTTAACTGTCACCCCTGTATCAAACATTAATATCAGGATAATAAAGGAATTAATCACCCACTAAGAAGCTCTTGATTGTTAAACAAATTCTCCTTGTCAGCACATTAGGAAATGCATGGAGAACAGTATAGAGGATATGCTTACCAACACAATGATGTATAGGGTCAAAAGTTATCATGAAAGGATAATGATATCAACAAAGGAGACCCAGTTCCCAAAGTGGTTTTTTTTGTACAGCTTAGGCACGTGTACTCAACCATGGTCTGACTTAACTCTTTGTCCCCAATATGACTTTCATCTTATTTCTCCCCAAATATCACCCCTGAATCAGACAATGTTAGAAGAATAAAGAAAATAATCACCAACTAAAGAAACTCTTGGTTGTTATACAAATTATCTTTGTCAGCACTTTAAGAAATCTATGGAGAATATGCTTAATGATGTTAGGGTGTAAAGGGTAAAACTCATTTCTAAGCCATGCTAGAACAAAAACAGAGAGACAAGAAATCTAACACAGTTTTAGCATAAGAATATTATTACATAGTTACATGAACCTTACATTTTTTACATGAATCCCATTTCAACCCTACTTTAAAATAATTAACACAAAAGAAACTACTTGTCAAAACTACCCTCTTGGGATTCTGTTGAACTAAAAAGAGACTTGATGTACAAGACCATCCTCAGAGAAAAAGAAATTGACACTAAACAAAAGCTATCTTACACCCCAGCCTAGCCAAGATAGTAGTGTTTGTCTACCTACCCAAAAATTACTTTTAAGTAAAACCTGTGCAAAGTTATGATTATGATATTTGCTCAGATGAATCTTAATAAATAAATCTAAGAAAGAAATCAGTCTTAGAGAAGCATTAACAATATTTTTATTGAATAGAGCTTTATACAAAGGTTTGTATGCTATCTTACTTTGTACGTTAATATCAACTTTTTATGATCTTTCAGAAGACAGCAAAATCTTCAACACTGTCAATCAGTCTCAAACTGTTTGTGCACAAAATATACCTCAATTCCCAGTACAATTCCAATGAATCTCATATTTCCATATCACTATTTGAAATTTATTAACATAAATAAGGAAAGGAAAAAAATCACTTTTTTGGAGGCATATATGTTTCAGCTCCATAAGTTATATGATTGCAAAAATATGATCTGTCAAGCTTTTTTGTGACCTACAGTTGGACCCCTTTAGTGCAACTTTAATGAAACTTTTCCATGTATAGAAATTAATGCACATTTCACTCAAGCTAATGAGCAAGACCTGTAAGCACTGTATGTCTTTGGGAGAACTGTTCTGAAACATAACCCACATTTTTCTTATAAATTGCATTTGCCCTTTTCTAACTACTGGGAGCATTATTTAGAACTGTTCTTCTATGTTGCTAATGTATTTTGCGAGTGTACTTCAGGTCTAATTTTCATGTAATCTCCATACCACATTTTTAGCATCTTATCTGCATTACCTACAGTATGATAGCGTCGATTGTTTATTGTAACTTCAGTGAAATTTTCGAACCATTCCTCAGGAGAGGGGTAAACATCAACATAGCGCTGCTCTACTGCAACATTCTTTACTGGAAGAAGTTTCTCCATCTCTTTGAGGATCTTGCTACTGAATAAAGCATCGCTCTCAAAGCTATCAGCCCCTTTGAAGAAATGTTGAGTATTTACGGCCACTGTTGGAGCATAATGTGCAAAAACCCTGGTGACTGGGGGGTTCGCTTTCCATGCCACAAAGTACCTGGAACCCAGAATCCTTTGCACAAACTGGAACTTTTCATACTGGTCATTGTCAGCTTTGTGGATTGCAAGGTCTACATCATCTGAATAGGGAACCATTGACTGGCTTCTCACAGCACCAAGGAGTGTCCCATAAACGACACGATACTCAATTCCAACTTTATTCATGGCATCCACGAGGGTGGACAAGATCTCATCCATGAGCACATCACAACAGATTGGATAGCCATCAGCTGCAGCAAGAGTGTTTGGGCGAGAGGTCAAAGGTTTCTCAGGGCAGAACTGCTTGTCATCTGTGCACTTGGTCCATTCGATTTTATCTGGACGTACTATGCGTAAGATGCTGTGTATTTGGCCAAGTGTGGAATAATCGAGATAATACCCAGTGCTCTGAAGGATTTGGTGATCAAAGTATGTTATGGCAGGCGAGAAAAAGCAGTTTGATAGTTTACCTATTTTCAGGAGTCCTTCTGACCTTTTAAAGAAGTCAAGATGACTCATGCTACCACATTCAGCACGCCACCTCAGGGACTGAAAGGTACTTTTGCGAAGAACAAATGCTGTTTCAGCAATATTACACTCTTGAAACCAATTAGTAGCTTTGCTGCTGTCATCTTCACGGTGACTGGGTTCATGGGGGTGAATTGGTCCAAAATTGCGAATACTCATTGTCCAGTTTTTAACCAGAAATGTGCAGCTACTTTCTTCAAGAAGAGTCTTGGCACTGTTGAATCCTTTCACTCTTACCTGGGTCAAAACCCCCATTGCCCCATCAAAGTTTGGACTTGCATCAAGGAACTGTAATAGCTTCTGTAATTCTTGTTTGTCTTGCAAGGACAGGCCAGCCACACCAAGAGATTTCAACCATGGTTGTAATTTGTGGGGAACCATCAAGACATACTTCACAACATTCCTGGCCAGTCTTGCTTCAACTTCATCTTCTGGCTGGTAATCCCACTCAAGTATTTCTACAGAGGACATGTGAAACCTTTCAATGGGAGGAAGGCGGAAGTGACGCTTTATCTTCTTTGAACATGTAGATGATGGACCGGAGAAGCACTTCATTTGTAGAAGAGTAAATGTCAGACAAACAACCAAGAACAATGGACAAATCACTTCCCACTTTTTCTGCCTCATTTTACCTTAGTCGAGAAATTTATTAAGCTGCTTACAGTCTATAAATGAACCCTGAGGATAAGAACCAAATAAAATAACTTTTTATTAAATCTTTCTTGTTTTACAATGACAATTAAAAAGTATCAATAACAACTACTGGTAGTTTCTATATTACAGCCTGAAAAAAGAAAATTGTTAGCGACTTCATTGGATCTTTCTGTAACAATTCCCCTTGAACTATCTCAAAATACCATTTCATTAGACACTTGGTATACTCTTCACCCAAAGACAGCAGGAACATGAAGTTACCCTCTGTGCACAGGGTATAGTGACAGGACTTTCCCACTTAACAGATTTGCAGAGTCTGTTCTGGATTCTGGATAAAAATGAATACCCTGAACTTTACCCTGCTTCATTTCCATATAAGAAATTGCTTCCAAAGACTTGGCTCCTTCTCATTCATCTCCCTCTGAAACAGGATTCAGATAGTTGTGCAAATTCACAGAGGTCAAGGAATACTGATAATGAATACTGAATTGCTGTCCTGGGTCTTGTGGAACTCCCTCAAGATCAGTTGAAATTGGGAAATGTAAGACTGATGCAAAGTCTTGCATTGGTGAATCAAAAACACAGTCAGCATGGAGAGATGATAGATAGTCACATATGGCCACAATTATTTACCAACACAAATATAACAGTTGCTTTCACTTAGATTTCAAAGTCAGTTACCCATCAAACCTGCCCTCCCCCACAAAAAGAAATCACCCATGCTTATTAATTCAAGTAGAAATTTTTATCTCATTTTTTGGAAAAAAAAGGTTAAATTAAAACTCTTTTTATGGCCTAGTGAAACCCCCCATTATTTTCTTTTTAAGGTTATACCCTTGTTTTGAATCAACTTATTATACAAAGTTAAACTGAACTTTTCAAGCAAGAGTTAGTAACGTAAGTTTATTAAAGTTTCTGAAAACTGTGTTACAACTACACCACACCAGACATAAAGGCCCACCTATATGGTCTCTGGTTCCCAAGACAATCCTACCTTGAGTTACCCTGGCCTGCTAACTTTTCATTTATTTCTTTGAAAAATTCAACCAACTTACTTGTAAATGGCAAACTCATTTTAGAGGACAAGATAACTTAGGAGGGCATGTTCTCCTACCCCAGTTGGCAGTAGGGTGACCCTATCAGGCAGAACAACTTTTTCTCATATGAAAACTTTGGCTAGTCTGTCAGCCTTCTGTAGTCTGTGCATTTGGGTCAGTTTAGGGCAGGGAACAACTGTTACAACTCTGAATCCTTATAAGAGCTCCATAAAGTTGTATCCAGGGTAAAGGTTATGCTGGGAACCTGAGACCATATATATAGTGCCTAAAAAACATCCTTTAGCAATCAGAAAATTAAAGAGAGAAGTGTCTGAGGAGTCCAAAAGAGTTTTCCAGATGGATTTTTCTGCACAAATGCTGGAATACACCTTCTCCCTCTGTTTCTTGTGGTAATCAAGAAAAATGTGCTGGCTCACCACTATCCAACACCTGCCATAAGCCACTGTCAACTGACCCTGTTACACGAGAGATTTGTCATTCTAAATCCACTAAAAGTTTATTCTTTTTTTTCTTTATTTTCATTTTATAAACCACTGATTGTGGTTACTAAATAGACTCTATAATTTACAGTGGCTTTCTATTGTTGCCAATATCAAGGATATTGAGCACCAACTTCCAAGCGTCTGGTAGTCATCATATTCAAGTTTATCTTTGTGAGTTCCTTATACCTTTGAATTTAAAATGTACATCCCTGCTCTTTTGAACTTAAAACTTAAAACTTCATCATGTTTGCTGCCTTATTCAAGTTGCTTAGGATTGATCACAGACAGTTTGCAGTGTCTTTACAAGCAATACATCATATGATAAGTGGAAAATGATGATTAACACTTAAAAATAGTAAAAAGAGGATATCATTGTTTATAATAAGTATTTGCATAAATTAGCAAGTTAACATTTTAAGACATGGAATTTGCTAAGTCAAGCTTTAAAGAATTATTTTTAGTAACATGCCTATTCATGTCAAGTTACGTTGTTAGTGAAGTAGGATTTAAAGCACTCTTGATGGAAAATGATAGCATCAAATAATGTTAGCTTATGGGTACTGAAAGTTTTGCTTCACCCTTATACCATTAAGTGTGATCGATGATTACTTTCTCCTTGCAATTCTCAGAGCTACACAAAAATAAATATATAACATGAATTGCATCAAGTTGACTCCAAACTTAATTTTATCTCAGCATTTTTTGTTCATCAAAACCTGCCGATGAAAAAACTGATTTAGAAATTTGCTGGAACGTTTTAGCCCCTATCTCTACAAATACCTGTCAACGAGCAGAACATTATTTTCCTTTTGTTGCATTCGAATGTCAGGTCAAAATGTATAAATACCAGATCAATGCGATTAACTTATTTCTAGAGGTCTTGAAAAATTCAAGTTACCTCTGAATGCTTCAGCTACAAGCGATCAGAAAACTACGAGAGCAACGCACGCTCTAATTCGCAATGATTTCCCTGAAACAACTACCGAGAAGCCTGCATCAAAGGTTTCTTTATGTTCTTGCGAATAAGACCACAGAAATGTAAACAGATCTGTGATATGCTCTAGTGTTGAAATTATGCGAAATATTAGGTTATCAGTCAAAAGGAAGCGAACGAAAAGTTATCCAAACGCCCAAATACAAAACACAGAAGCAACATACCTCGATTGGAAGACTGTGGCACAACCGCTATTTAAAGCAATCTTTTGTCAAGCAAACGCAACTCGGAAAAAAAGTGTTATGTTCTTTTCAAAGTCCCGAAATTTTAATTACAACGACAGCGAAACTCTAGTAGTAAATACGTCAAAGGATAAAGTTCAGCTCATTAAAACTGGAAATCACGTCAATGGACCGGATGTAATTGCAAACGCTTGTAAATTACACTTGGTGAATAACTATTCTGAAGCGAAGTAAGAGACAAGTGGTTCGGTTGTTCCGTTTGCGCGGGCCAACAGGACTCAATCAAATTAGACGATTAGCGTAAGAATTTCACTGCACGATGTCTCCAACACTATGTTCTTTTTCAAGGTAATGCCAGTCAAGCAAATTGCTAATTAACACTACGAGGAAATCTAGAATGAGAACTCTTGGAGTAAAATCTGCGAAGATACATCCAGGCACGGCTATAGAAACGGCAAACCAATCTTATGAACCAGGTATTATGACATATCAGGTTATCGTAAACCCCTGTTGGCTCCACTTTTGAATAATTTAAAAGGTCACACTTCTTCGAATCGAAGGTGAAAGGAAAGAAGTTCATAAAATTTCCGTTAGGCTGATCAGTTACGATGCTTCCAACTTGGCCCCCCTTCAGGGTAGATCAAAAGAACTGAAAATTATTGTTGTCAAATGTCTTCAGCATTGATTGTAGACTTTATCCTAACTCTTAACAATTTCAGATCTTTAAATTTCTGTTAAATCTGACATGGAGTCATTTCGCTGTTACATTGCCAACAAAGGTCGCCATTTCGCAACACATTAGAGAATCGATCAAAATGTTGAGAAAAATTCATGTCCTCATCACCATTAGTATTTTGGCTCATGAAAAGGGTTTTATTGTGTAAAGTTGTATTTCTTAAAGAGATTTACAAGTTAACGCTAGGTTTTTTAAATCTTAACTGAAGGAAGCTAAGTTAACAGTACAAGCTTTATTGAGATCACTTTAAAATTGACTGTAACCCGCGGTGAAAAATGAAATGAAGCAAACTCACTTCCGTACTTACGTCTGATTCTTCCAGTTGCTTTAGCTCTAAGGTGATCCCTCCAATACGCAATTACGTAGTTAAAGAAAAGTTTAGATAGTCTACAACGCTCGATGTTCACGCTTCGAAGTCTGCACTCAAGAAACCTTACATTTGGGTGCAGTTTGTTGAAATACCTTACGTCAAAGTAATTTTACATCGCGTGCTCCCTGTTGATGCGTATCCTAAATGTGTCAGCCTTATGTCAATCTTTTCGGTTCCCAGAGAGTCCAGTTCTGAAATACCATCACGTACACATTTACAACTTGCATTCGGGCTTTTGTATTTCGGTGGGGAGCCCACGATTTTTGCACAATCTCCCAGCGACACCCTTAAAACAAGAAAGGCTATACAGGCACACACACTCACAGCTTCCCTTATGTCTCGCAAATTTATGCTGAAAGTTAGTTCGTTAATGCTTACTTTTTCTTTTCCAAACGCTTAATGGTCCCTACTCAAGATTTTCCACGGGCCTTTCCTTTCAACAAAGAGGGCACATTTCCAAATTACAAACTACGCCCTAATTTGAATTATTAATCGCTTAAGATCCCGTTATATGCGGTATTACCCAACCTACATCAACAGGGAGACACTCTCCAAAGATAAAATTATTCTCCAATTTCTCTATCAGCACTGATTAAAACATTAAGGTCACGAGACTGATAACAGACGTGATTACCAACTTTAAGAAGCTCTTGATAGTTGAACAAATTCTCCTTATCACCATCTCAAGAAATGTATGGGAAACAGTATGGAGAATATGCATACCAATGCTAGGATGTACAGGGTCAGATCAGTCGTGGTTTCTTCATTTCAATTTAATCCCTTCTACAATCAAATAAATTGTGCAGTTTGTAGCAATACGTGTATCGCACATGACCAAGAAATGATCACAGATCCTCTCCTACACATGACGCAGTTCGAACAGGTACTGAGTTCAGCTGATTACTAGTTTGGAAAATATAAATCATACGCAATAAAGCATTGCAAAATATTTGTAGTCATTTCGGTCCGGTTCACAGTGATTGTGAACTCCGTGTGACAAGGTGAAGCATGGCATCATATGACAAAACAAGACACACTATAGAGGTGTGAAAGGGCTTTGTTATATAGAATCTTAATGAGGAAGAAATTATGTATTATGTAAACTGTAACAGAGTGAATTGAATGACTTGTGTCTCGTCAGGGTTAAAGAGGTTTTAGATTTATGGGGAAACTGGAGGTTAGCCGCATTGAAAACACCCCTTTCGGTTTCACGCGCTGCCATCACGACGAGTCCGCTCTCAAATGATGAAGTTTGACAACATCAAACTGACCAAAACAAAAAGCAGAAGTTTAGTATTTCCTCATCCTCCCTCGAGGCTATACTCAGTGTCTAGTTGTTGTGTCATAAAAAGTCATGCCTTAAATTTGGTAAAATCGGTCTTAAACATATCTGTCATTCGAATGCAGGAATTTCTTTTAAAAAACAAACTCTTTGATAACAACTACTTTTGAATTTTGGAGAATCGACCTCAGCCTATAATTAAACTTAGCTTTTAAATTAGCGATCGAAAACGGCAAGTTACTCTACTATATAAAGTCTCATATTGACAAGCATTGACCGGTTTATATTCCTCAACATACAATTTGAAAGCGCACTTTATCAGTTGTCAATTTAACAAATAGATTCCAAGTTGCCGTGCGTCTGTTCAGTAATAGATCACAGATGAAGTCAAAATGTGGTAAGAACAAAAAAGTGGCACATGAGGCGCAGCCGAGTGTCACTGATGTTCTTACCACATTTTGACGTCCTCTGTGATCTATTACTGAACAGACGCACGGCAACTTGGAATCTATTTGTTTTATATAATAAAGAATTTAAAAAAAGTTTTAATGATGACGTCATCTATACGTCTGTCCTCCAATAGATCATAAGTGAGAACCAATCAAAACGCGTGCATAACTGAGCTTATTATATAATCTCTGTCTTCCTTTTATGAACAGAAACCTATGGAAACTCGATGCGGTTTTTTTTAATTTTAATTTTTTAACAAAAATGCCCCTTTGGCTAAGCTAGGGCCTTTAGCTATTGAAAGATAGCAAGGTGTGGCAATAAAATCCTGCGGTTTTGCTCACGATCAAACCCCATCATGTACAAAAAGAGACCAAATGCAAATATTCTGGATTTTTTATTTTCAAGTTCAAAAGGAGCATAGAAAGAGACCGAAAGTTTTAGCAGTGTTAAATGTCAATCGTAGACAACCTCAAAATGATAAGGCTGCCCAAAAAATCGGCTCAATGGCTTTGGATTGATTCCACAGGTCCCACAAAATGTTTTTGGTTGTGTATTTGATTTATTTTTTATAAGGAATTATTTGATAGGTACTTGTATCAATGTGGTCCCCTAAACAAGATTCGCTGCTACGTATAAACTCTGGATCAAAAGGACAGTTAAATTTTAAATGAAGATCTGGTATAAACAACAAAGGACAAGGGACTTTATTTTTCAGTTGCCGTTTTCTAGAACGTAACGACCGCTACCCACCGAAAAAAATAAAGATCCTGAAAATATAAGTTAAGATACCAAGGTCCTTGACCTAACGTGATTTCGAGATTTTACGCCTGGGATGCTAATTTGCACCAAGTTCACTTTTCTTTTATCCACAGAATTAAAAAAAATTATTATTGTATTATAAAGGATGAACAATGACTTACTTGCGAAGATTTGAGTGATGGAGGAGGTGTGCGAGGGAAGAGGTATATATTGTTAAAACGAAACGCACTTTGAAGCTATTTGCCGTTTAATCATTGCGCAGAGTTTGCTAATTGTGACATGAATTCCTTGGGCGCTAACATCTCACAATACCTATCAAATGTTGACGTGTGTAGTTAAAAGTAAACAAAATTGATGTTAATTTACCAGTTTCTTCAAAGAATGCAGAGGATGATTCTTGCTGAGTATATCTTTAATAGCAGAGTAGTGTAATGCTGGCAAATTTCAGGACATCGATATCTGGAAAGTTTAAAATGGATATTTATCATTTCGTTACCTGATCAGTTCCGGTCAAGTTTGTTGTTTACAAACACAAATGTCAAATTCTATCACGCACACGATTTAGGCTTGCATTTCCGATGACTTTCTAATATTTCCAGTCCACCATATAGTAAAGAAAGGCAGAAAAGCAAATATATCTTAACCCGGTAGACTCCTACTTACTAGATTGGAGTAAGATTACAGCTTGCCCAATGAAAACGCTTTAATTGGGGAGTGGGGGGCGGGGTTGGGGGTTGGGCTTCTTAATTTCTCAGGCTTCTAGAAAATTGGAGAGGAATATTTACATGATAAGGGCTCATTAAAATACGCCATATGGGAAGCTCAAATGTATGTATTTCCTTTGCCTTTGACCTTTTGTAAGTAGAAAGAACACTGAACAATGCTGAAAACTGCATGCATCTCTTTGATTGGAAAACTCACGATAACTTACACTTCTACAGGCTTTTTAAGTCAAGTACACTTTGTAATTAAACACTTCCTATCCCAGAGTAATGATAATACCACGGTTTGAAAATTTGCAGAGCATTTGCAAGAATGACAGGGGCAGTTCCGAGTAATCGGTTTTGTTCAAGAAGGGGTGTGAAACCATGCAATTTTTTTTTGATGAACCGAAAGCATTGACCAATATTTTCATGTTAAGTAACTGTGATTGTACTAAGAGGTAACAAAGAGGGCCTTAATGAGGGGGAGGGGGGGCTTAACAGGGAGCGAGGGAGGATAGGTCTCACGGTTGACAGTCCATTTTTTTTTTAGTTTGACCATTGACGGTTAATTTTTACGGCTTTTGACGGTGATGGTTCAATTTTAGGGATCTTAACGGTTGACATTTGTTAGAAAGACATATTTCTATGAATTACAAGTAATATTAAGTTTTTCTGTTTTTCAGTTTTTCAATATGAATGATAAATGATTTTCGATTTACTCAGTCTTTTGCTGACGAAAAAAAGTGAAGCAAAGTGAATAACTTGCCAATAACCGGATCCTCGTGCACGTTTGCTCATAAAAAGCATTGGCCCTCGTGAAAATAGAGAATTTAATGACATTCTTTCTATGAGGACTTCGTATAATGGGTCTCATTAGATCTTGTGATTTAACAAGTTCTAATTCACTTAACATACGATAGATCCAAGATGACAAAGACCCATTTCCATCCCAACCCCTGTATACATAAGTTACAGTCATCCTCACTTATTTCAATACTATTTTCTTCAAGTTTCCTACAAGACTGGTTTATAAAACTTAAAATTTAAAAATTTTAACACAATCCATACCAAAATTACATAATTCTGGGAAGCCTGAACGTATTTAAGTAGGTGATGTCTCACTTGAAATCACAAGGAATCGGAAGGAAATTCAACCGCCACTTAACTTCTCATACACCACCAAAGTTCGAGTTAGTGACTGCATGGACAAAAGAGAGCTTCTTACAAAATCTGTTCCTGTAGCTGACTGTTTGGGGTCTTTAAACAATTAACTAGTTTTCTTTCCCAGTGATCCTTTTCAACAGTCTTTGGATAGTCAATATAACTCCTTTTTCGCAACTCCTTGGGGAGTTTTCCTCTGTCAACGTCATCAAGTTTGATGACGACTACACTATCATCTTTCCTTTCCATAAGTCGATGGAGGGCGTAATCCATCTCAGAACCACTATAATTGCTGTTGAAAAAGTTTTTAGACACGACTGCTATTGTTTTTCTAGACTTGTAAACACTGTTGACCGTATTTTCACGAAAAGGTACTCCAACAACGAAATCTCTGTAGTGTACACAGCATTTAAAACCATCATGCTTTCTCTCAATAATTGGAATTAGAGTTTTAATCACTAACCCTAAGCAGCATACACTAAATAAAGAAGAGTGCACTCGAAAAAAATTATTTTGTGCTGACAACACCCAAGATGTGGTTGCCGTGACGTTTTTTCCAAAATCACTCGTTCATCATGGCCCCTCGCCCGCTTAACCCTTTAACTCCTTAGATCTCATTGGTAATTCTCTTTACTATCTGACATACAATAATTATGAGACCAATTGGGAGAATTTGGAACTGGATCAACTAATAATCCCCTAATTGATATTTTACTTTATTCTCATCACTTCTATGCCTGATATTGTGTTGATATTTTAAGGAGAAATTCTCTGTTGGTCACTCATGGGAGGTAAAAGGGTTAATAGAAAACTTTTCCTTTTAGAACAAGAGAATGTGATCAGTTTATCTAAGAAACCTTAACAAAAACACTTCCCTTTGAAAAAAGAGAATTTTATCGTACATTAGCCAGCTGTTTTCAACAGAACCGAAGAAATAATTTTTCAGTGCTTACCTCGACACTACAGAAGACAATTTTTATTTCACGAAGGCCTTTCGTGGACGCATGATAAACAAATAAAACTCTTCCAAGCAGAAAGATCCTTAATGTGCAATGGGAACAAGATAAAAATTTTGAAGAGAGGGAATTTTATCATTTCAATCAGTGAATTAAATGCCCAGTAGATCCGAAGACAAGACAAAAGATGATTGACATCTCAAAATAATTTCACAGTGAGGTCTCGCCGACGCGTAATTGAAAAGAAAACTTTTCTTTGCAGAAATATCTTTTTACAAAATATATCTAAGTATCCACAGGAAGTAAATGTTACTTTTGATCACCGCTGCTTTAACATATCCAGTGTGATTAACAAGGTGTTCTTCGTCAAAGGAAAGAGTTCCAGGCTCACGCGTCCAAGTTAGTTCATCAATCCCGCCCTGGGTGCTGGCCTGGGTAAAACTGCACATTGATCTGTTGAGGTTGCAACCTGAAGGAGCTGAAAAATTTTGGGAAAAAATTAAATCAAGACCAGTAGTGGTAATGTGCATAGATATCAAATCCACGGTTCTAAATGAAATAATGACCAGTTTTTTTTTTTAAAGGGAATTTCCCTTCCACCCCACATGATCAAGTATTGAATGCAATTTACAAGAAGTGTCGTGCATTGTTCTCACTAGCAAACTGAAACTGTAGAAATAGTTCCAAGGTTCCGTTTAGAAAGGTATGGGTATCCTGTTTTCCGAATACTATTCATTCCATTTTTTTTTCAATTTTCATTTCCCATAACTCCTTTATCAAGTGGTCTCGCTTCCATGAAATGATACGAGTGACGTCGTTCTCCTGTAACAAAACCGACCAGAGCGTGAACCGTCAGGCCACCGTTTCTCCAATTGAATATTTGTAATTTGACTCAATTTAATCCTGGTCACTTCCTGACCTTTTTAGCAGAGAGTCTAGGTTGGATTTTAATGTAACATAATCCCTTTACCTCAGCATGCTTGCTCAATCACATCTTACCTGAACTAACTTACATTTTAGCCACGAATCATCGTTATTGGACAATGTCCTTTAATTAAACAAACATGTGATTTTATAATAGCAATCATCGCCATTCCATGTCACTTACCCTTCACGTCAAAGACGTATGAATGAACCAAAGTACCATATGAGTTTTTCACAACGCATATGTAATTTCCTTTGTCTTTGATATCCACCCCGTTGAAATATATTTCATAGTCATAACGCCCTGGTGTTATCGTCTCGTCAGATCTATGACCAAGATATATATCTTTACCCTTGTACCATGTGACCGTTGGACCTGGCGTTCCTATGGCGTCACATATTAGCTTGAACTTATCCCCCTCCGGATATTGTGATTTTACCTTCGCCATTCGGTCTGGATGCTGAAACTGGGGTTTTATGGCTGTAAACTGTGACAAAAAAATGAGTAAAATCAAAGTAGGGCAAGACTGATGTTTTCGAAGCGGGAAAAACTCAGAAATGAACCTACAAAACTACAGCTCAGGGACGTGGAACTCTCTAATAACTAGCAGGTGACCAGCGATACATCGCTAACATTCAACAATGAATTACTGTAATGATTCGATTTAGTGCCCACGTTCCAATAAGCGCCCACCGTTTAAAAAGCGCCACCCTCGAATTAGTTTTTGTTGATAAACACCGTTATTCTTAAAAGCGCCACTATTGAGTAAGCACCCTCGTTCCAATAAGCGCCCCAATATTAAAAACGCCCCTATTCCAATAAGCGCTAATCGCCCCCAATTCTGTTTCAGTGATGGCACTGTTAGAGTTCATGTGCATTAAGATCAACCGTGGTTCATCCTCCTCTGATTACTTACTTAAAGCCTCATTACAAAAACAGTGGCGTTCCTCTCAGTCTCTCGACTATTATGTCTAGGTGAGTGCACAGATCCCTCTAAATCCCTCGTCTCAAATTTTTTCAGCGATTGCTTGGCTGGTCGTTTTTAGCCAGGAAGGATCCAGGGACAACACGCCCGTTCTCCAGTTTTCTCGATCCTTTTCAAATAAATATACAAACTTTGTTTTGCTCATTCTGATGTTTCTTAAAATATAAATAAGCGCCCTGTTTCGAATAGGCGCCCTCCCTAAAGGTAACAAAAGTAAATAAGCACCCCGGGCGCTAAATCGAATCATTATGGTGAGAAAAATTTAAAAGAAATAGCGTAATTTGATAACTACTATGAGGGTATTTCAATCTAGTGTTTCATACTGCGGAACAGCTTATGGTTATCCTATAGTTTCCTTACCAGGAATGGATGAATGTTATGAGCACTCATGAAAACTACAACAGGATTCTCGATCGTGATTGGTTATAACCAGCCCGATTTGAGCACTAGTGGGATAGCACCTTTTTCGTGAGGACGTGTTGCGCTTAGTCCGCACTGCACTTTGAGTATCCGGGGATCAGAAGCACTTTTAGTATCCGGGAACAGAGGATCATGGTTACGTGTTGATTTCTACTTTCCCGGCGATTGACTCCAATTAAGGGCATTCACTGGAAAAAAAGAAACCAGGAACTGCTGGCTTTTATGTCTTACATGTAACAAGGAATAGCACCAAGTCTTTTCTTCAAGAGTTCAGTTGGAGCAGCTTATTAAATAAATGACAGCTTAAGCTGCTGACTTGCTTCATGGCCACTGTACGTGTACTGTAGTACAAGAGGATGGTGTCAAGTACTTCCAGTGTGTGTGATATATGTTATGTGATGAATACCCAATGTTGGGGGCTGAACCTTGTCTGAAAACTCATGACTATCATCCTTAGTATTGAACACTCCAATCGTAGGGTGAGTATCATTTTAGTAACTAAAAGCAATATCTAAAAAATGAGACGAGCTAAACGCTGTAACAGACTAAAAGAAATACCATTTTTACTTTCTTTCTTTTTAATGAAGTATTGATATACACCATGAATTCGGATATGATGGTTTTACCGAGAAAAAAGGCGCAAAATTTCCCATACTGTATATCTTTGGAGCAAGCATTGAAGTAAATCGCCGAGATGAGCAAACATATTACCTGGCTCTGCTTCAAACATATAATCTTAACCTTGAAACATCACAATCTTAGAATTTGCAAAATGTAAACCTTCCATATTTTTTTTTTCTTCATAAAAAACAATCAACCCTTAGCTTGATTTGATTTGGTGCAACCACAAGACGAACACGATGAATCGAAAGGGGGTTGTCACAATTTCAAATCATCTGAGAAGACCTCAGGGACTTTGCATGGGTGAGAATTTCACCTGGTTTGATAGTTTAATGGGTAAAATGAAATGGGCTTAAACACCTCTTGAAAAATAGATTTCCAAAAATAGAGAGATCTCAGATACCCCCTGACACCATGGAATGTGTATATATAACGTCATTTCGAAAAAAGTAACGTTCATTTGTAACTGACATTCACGCAACGAGTTTCTTGTCTTCCCTTACGACTCTTTGCATGGGTGGAGGGGATCGATAGACTGACTTAGAAGATCGCATTACAATTACGTCAGGATGTTTATGGAACGGCTCTTCGAGCCAATTTCGAAAAGTTCTATTACGTTATGTATATCCTTGAGGAAGGGGATGTTTTGTAACCCTTGAAATTATTTTCAGAAATAGTGACAACCCCTTTTCGATTCATTGTGTTTGTCTTTTGGTTGCACCAAACTTTTTCCGCACGAGGCCCGGAGTTGTTTCAAAGAAATAAAGAATATATATGCCAATCGGTGTGCTTCGATATTCCAGTTAATGCGATTGGAGAAGAATTAATTGTGAATAACGAGAACATCTTGGACGTGAAAACCGTAGGACTGAAGATTATCCTGAACAGTTCATGAGTTGGAATGTAGAATTGGCGTTGAAGATGGGATGGATACGATTGACTTTGAACGAACAACAGGAGAAGAGAAGAGCTAAGAGAATCTCGTTGCAACGGCAAAGAAACGTTAATCAGAATTTTAATTTAAACTTTCTTTTATCGGCGAGTCATGATGAACGATTTTGTTTACAAAATAAGAGGCAGGAACCAGTAACTATTTATCGATTGGGGGATCATACAGTTTTCAGATGCAGTTCGGGGGGGGGGGGGGGGTGGTCCTGGTCGTAGGATCTAGAGGGGATCATATGGTTTGGGGCCTGAGATTAAGGTTGAATATCGGCGCTTTTATTCATAGGAATGATGCAGATGTTCTCTTTCACTTATCAAAAAATGTTGTCTTATAAACTGTCCCACACTTTTCATTTTAAAATGGAAAAAGGAATTTTCGCACCCATGAGTAAGAAATATGACCAACGCCTTCTTTTCTCGTTTTCTTCATTTGAATTGCAGATATTACATTAGAATTAAATTATTCACAATTTTTTCGTCAGCTTTGGAGGGTTTGAAATTTACGTTCCAAGTGCAACATGGCCGAATGTCATTTTCTGGTAGATTATTGACCAAAAACTCTCCAAATAAACTACGGAGACGTCGTAAATCACCCATGCGTTTATGATAGATGTTTGGTGGTACACTGATGGATTAGACATACCTTCGTTTTGCCTGGTCGGACTTCACGTCGCTTTCATGACCACGAACACGTGGATTTTCAACGTCGAAGAAGTGGAATAGTTGACTCGTTACGGCCCCTTATCGACAGGTATTTAACGACTGTTTTCATTATTACTCTGTGATACGTTTGAGTTTTACTTTCAAATAAATGTGAAAACGGTATTTTTCTTGGGACGCTGAGTCCATTATTTATGAAATTGAATTCACATGGATATCGCATGTTTAATGAATTTGAATAAAATGGCAATAAATCATTCGTGGTAAATTTTCTGATGCGAGAGATGAAGAACAAAATCACTTCTTTCTCTGCTTAATCAAGCTTTGAGGACCGTAGTTTACACAAGTACAGGTCAATTTTTATGAAAAAATTGTGAGATCTCTGTTTAAGAGCAGATTTACCTTTCTTAGTTCTTGAAAGTTCAACGAAGAATGTTTGTAAATATAATGATAATATGAGTGCAAGAGAGGAATTTTCTGAGTATTACTGAATACTGGCCAGTGAACTGACGTTTGTACATGTGTGTGTAAGATTCTAAGGTGGAAGTTTTCGCTTAGAAGAGCTTTGTTTATCAAAACTCATAGAATAGATTTCATCAAATACCATAGGTGGTGTTTTCAAAATATTAACTTACGCATCATTATTTGTTGATACACAAATTTCTTATCTGTTTTTAGGCATTTTACAGTATGTATGGGACAAGATCACAACAAACTGATCACTTATGACGACGAGAAAACTACGCAAGGATAACATTGCGTTTGTATGAGGTGGGTGAAATTAGCCCAAATACCATTGACACAGTCTAACTGATATAGTTTCAATAAAAAAAAAACTGATGAAACAGACAAAGTTATAAACTGCAGGTTTTTGTTTTGACAAACACTAAATTATCCTATGGAATCCATAAGAGGAATTTATGGCATGCAGGTTAAATAGAGAAGTGATAATCAGATCTTGGGATTGATTTAAATAATTTATTTGCAGAATGTACAACCCCATAGAGACTAATTAGTATTTAACGAAATGAAGTGACTTCAAGAAATGGAGACATTTCATGTAGGGTGTAAAGATGTTTTCACTTGCGAAATGGTCTTTAAGTTTTAAAGGTGTAATTCAGAAACTTGGGGAGATGTTTAGTGCCAGGGGTAAGGTTTCAAACAATAGGCACATTGGGGGTAAATATCAGCTGATGTCATCATCATTGCAAGAGTTTTTAAGTTGTATATTCAGAAGTGTTTCTTCACCCGGGAGTTTTATTAATGGGTTACAGCGAACTGTAAAGGGGCCTGACAACGTAGTAGGGAGTAACCTGTGGTAGACCGGCATCCCGTCCAGGGATAAGAAACACCCTTAGACGCTTTACGCTACTGAAACGGTGGTAACCTGCGTTCAGATATGCCGGTCTTTGGCTCGTAAACTGACTTACTCTTTGCTTTTTTATTGCTCAAACGCTCACCACTTAGGCTTTCACAGTGTTATAAATCACCCGGACCCAAACACTCACCCGACTCAATACGAAATCTCTAATTATAACCCTTATATCCCCTGTAACTATATCGGGAAGTTCCCCACTTCCCCCCCCCATCACCCCCCAGATCATTCTCAAATCAGAGGTAATAAATGTTTCTTGTTTTTAAGAGTCCTTCCATCGTCTCACAAAACGAGTTGTACAACTCGATACCGTAGTTACTCAAAATAACTCCGCCCTCGACTGATCGCCCCACAGACGCCACCCTCGATACACGCTTCACAAGAGAGAATGTACGGTTACCAACACTTCATTTATTGCACAGAGAGCAATTTACAATTGAGCGTCGAAGGGAGTCTGAGCCTGGCACTAGTCTGC